TCTTCATTTGTGGATAAAATATCAGAACGTGTAAAGGCTATTACAGTTGTAAGTATGAGTTCCTTTTTTATATAGTAAAATTATGTCCATTTTTCTACTGGGTATAAGGGATTTTGTGGTTTTTTTCAATTTCAAATTTCTACTTTTCATTCTGCAAATACGGGACATTTTGAAGGTATGTGGTTTCTTGCAAAATGGGCATTAGTGGCAGCTGAAACTTAATTTATAATGTAAGCTTCCACAGGGATAAATATTTCCATGGTTCTTATAAGTTTCTCTTGCTTCATATAGGGTGTGGGGAGGATTTTTTGTTCTCTCCATACTCTTCATATGTTCTGTGGAAAGTTCTCAATTCAACGTTTAAAAACCACATGTGAATCAAACGAAGTGTAAAGAAAGAAAAGAAGGTTACATAAAAGATCTCTTTGAAGCCAGTAAGAAGATTTACAAGTAAGGGATCTGCTGGAATTATTATGGTTTTAAGAAACTCTATATATACGAGGTAACGAATTTCCAAATGGTTAGAATACTCAACCATTGATAGAAAGAACCTATTCACTTTTAGCAGAAGCCGAAAAGGAAAAATCATTGGAAAATCTCAACAGCAGCATTTCCATAAGCCCTTTACTTTGGTGCTGCTAATTGTTGAATGCCTTACGGGCACATAAATTCTTATAAATTTGCTAAAACCTGGCATCTTCGTCTCCTGCCAATATTGTTGTTGTTTACGCTTCTAGTCTTTCAGCAAAATGTATTTGTGGTTGAATATTCATGTATCATCTATTTTGGTGGTTGTATGCCATTGTGGTGCCATATTGTATCTATTGTTAGTGAGGATCTGGTATCGACTAAGTCTTGATTACCTGTGGAACAAATAATTTTGATCAAAATTTGAATACTATTTTTTAATTGAGAGATGAAACTCTCTTCTCGAAAATGTTTTTCAGGGTCCACCATTAGCTGGGAAGTATGATATGGGTGCCATCTGTACGCAAGAGCAGTCTGAGAAACTTCAAAGCCTCGTAAATGATGCCTTAGACAGGGGGGCAAAAATTGTTGCTCGTGGAACTTTCGGACATTTACCTGAAGGTGCCGTTGATCAATATTTTCCACCTACCGTTATTGTTGACGTCAACCATACCATGAAGTTAATGCAAGAGGAGGTAGCAATACTTGACATGCTCTTCTTTTATTGCGTTAGACTTTTTGGTAGTCCCTTTTAGTCGGCCTATATTATATATTGTTTGAATAATTCGTCAAATAGATCTTGGAACCCTACTTAATACTTGCTCTGACGACGTACTGGTGCTGTTTGTATTCGGCTATTGGTCTTATAAAGAAACAAAAAAACAACTAAGACCCACTAAGACCCACTAAGACCCATTTGATAATCATTTGGTTTTTAGTTTTTGAAAATTAAGCTTGTAATCATTGTTACCACCTATAAGGTTGTTTATTTTGTTATCAATATAAAAAAATGTTTTTATAATCCCTTAAAAACTCATTTTATTTTTGGAAGGTCATGGTAAACAAATTGGAAACAAGGATAGTTTTCAAAAAAATAAAAGACAAACACAATTGTTATGGAATGTGGTCTAAAGTTTTCTTTTTAAATTTCAATTTTATGAAATTGGTTCTCTAGAAAAATTAGTGTGGTATATAACTAGCCATCTTATCTTTTATATTACATTTGCAGCTCAATTGATCTCTAAGAAAAGATCTTCTGGCTCCAAATTGACCTATAATTTATTGCTCAACTTCAAAGCTAAGAAAATGTGCTAACTGAGTGGTGGAATACAGGCATTTGGACCAATCCTGCCCATAATGAAATTCAGCACAGATGATGAGGCCGTGAGGCTTGCAAATGATTCAAGATTTGGGCTCGGCTGTTCTGTCTTTTCTGGCAGTCAGCGTCGTGCCAAGAATATTGCTTCGCAGATACGTTCTGGAAGTGTTGCAATTAATGACTTTGCCACAAATTATTTATGTCAGGTAAAATTCATTCATGCTTTATTTATGTTTACTTATTGGTCATTTGTTGGTACAGTCATCAAACACATGTTGGTTCTGACGGCGAGGCACTTATCTGTTTTACCTATATATATTAGTTTGTTTGAGAAATTAGTTGATATGCAACAAGTTTTGTGTGACAAAAACGTTATATTTATTTTTGTATGCATATAAATATGTAAACATAATATGTGAAATCCCACGTCGATTGGAGAGAGGAACGAGTGCCAGCGAGAACGCTGGCCCCGAAGGGAGGTGGATTGTGAGATCCACATTGGTTGGAGAGGGGAACGGAGCATTCTTTATAAGGGTGTGGAAACTTCTCCCTAGAAGACGCGTTTTAAAATTTTGAGGAGAAACCCGAAAGGGAAAGCCTAGAAAAGAAAGCTTAAAGAGAACAATATCTGCTAACGGTGGGCTTAGACTTAGTTTATTACATAATAGGGGTATTAATTTTTTAAAAGAAACTCATTTATGATGATAGAGATTTAGGGTTTTATAGATAGTTTTAAATGATTCGATAGGAAGTTAGTGTCACATGATTCGATAGGAAGTTAGTGTCACTGGTTAATATTACTCGTGTAGCATCCTCCCCTTTGTGAATAAGGAAAATTTTTGTGGCTAGCAGGTGTCTGCTATTTAGAGGGTTGGAGCGTCTTCCTAACAATGTTTGGATCCTTTTCTAGGTTCCATATGTTCCTTTAGGTTGCCTCCGTCTTTTGTGGACTTTTTTATTTTTATGTTTTTTTGTATGTTATTTATTATTTACTTTTTTCTCAATAAAACCTTAGTTACTGTAGAACAAATGAAAGAAAAATACTTTTGAGTATCTAAAAATGGCTTTTAAATTAATTTTAGAAACTAGCTTTGTTTATTAAGATAAAAAAAAAAAAAAAAAAACACTTTTGGTCATCTAATGTCATGGAAGTTATACTAAACACATTTGAATTATTAATTTTTTCAAAAGGACTTGAAGAAAAATTAATTTTGTTAAGATGCTAAATATCTTATGTAAACATGCTCTTGCTCGTCTCGTTGTCGTGATTTTTTTTATTAAAAACCATGTTGTCGTGCTCGTATCATTTCATTTGTGTGCTGCATAACTTGAAAGGAAACCTTTTCCTTTTTTGGAAGAATTCGTTGGTGTTATAGGACAATTACCTGTATTGAATCTAATAATGCATGCTTGGCTGGAAAAACTCGAGCTGATGGAAGTTAGTCTAATATCATTGTTTGGACCTTCGATGTTCGTTGTAATGGCATATCAACCTCAATCATATCAGTTATCTCTTGATTTTTCAGTCCTTGCCATTCGGTGGCGTGAAAGAGAGTGGATTCGGTCGATTTGCGGGCATTGAAGGATTACGAGCTTGTTGTCTCGTCAAAGCAGTCGTCGAAGATAGGTGGTGGCCATACATTCAGACTAAGCATCCTAAGCCTCTTACGGTGAGCCATTAAGAATTTCAATAAGTACTTTTTGCTCTTTATTTTGTATGCTCATTGAAATGGTTCGTATTCTTTCTCGATTAGTATCCTGTGGCAGACAATGCTTTCGAGTTTCAAATGTCGCTCGTTGAAGCAACGTATGGGCTGAACATATGGGATCGATTGAGAGCGTTGGTCAATGTCCTAAAGATGCTTTCCGAGCAGAACACTCCGGCTAAAGACAACTCTGCCGTTGATGATGGAAGTAAGAGAGCTGATTGAGGGGATATTGGATTTGCAATAGAATATACGTAGGTTGCATACACCTAAAGGTGTTCTTGGAGGTACTTTTAGAATTTTCCTTTTTCTTTAGTACTTTTTGTTGGTCCTAAAGTGCTTAACAACCTAGTACTTTCGATGTTTGATTATGTAACTTTGGAAGTGCTTACTTTAGCTGATGAGACAAAAGCACCATTCAAATGCTTACTATAACATTAGCATTTTAAGGTGCTTTTTATTTGTTTTTCCAAGCACTTTTTTATGTTGTTTCTAAATTATTGAAAATGGGAAGTATTTGGCTTTGCCCAAAACTCTCCCAATATTGCAAAGAGCTCATCTCGAATCATCGAATGTTTGGACTTTAACCTTGCGAGCACCCACTCAAACCAGAAGTAGGCAAGAAAAAGTATCTTGCTCTCAGGTATCTTTTTTTTCCTTTTGGAAGATTCAGGAGCGAAACAATCTTGTCTCTATCATTAGTTCGGATAATCAACTGTTTTTGGTGTTTCAGTCACCTTTTTATCATAACTGAACATGTATGCAATAGAGATATCTGCAACGAAAAAACTAATAGGCTTATGTTTTTGCATGTCGGATAAAACTAATTGTATATCAATTAGGTTGATTTGTAAAATTTGGCCAATAATTTCCTTCATTTGTTGTTTTTTTTTTTTTTTTTTTGGAAAATTCAGGACCTGTTTTTAACTTTTACAAATTTTCTATTCTATCTCGTGTTTCAGAAATAAATTTCAAATTTTGATTTATTTTATATTATTGCTTATCTTTTGTAAAACACATTTCCCCCCCAAACATTAACCTTTTCTCCCAGCCATACTCTTTCCTCATATTGTTTCTTTGATTTATCTTTGTATTCCTACTTTTATCTCTCAATTTTTTTTCTAATTTCCTTCTTAAAAAATTATGCACACTTCGAACAAGTCAAGCTAGACTAGTCGTTTCTGGTCAAGCTTTCATCACATGGACGAGAATCAAGTGCCTAAATCTAACTTCTCTTATCCTTTCAAATTGAATGATAAACTCAAAGCCATAGGCTTGAAATTTTGGTATGAATTATCTCATTGCCTCCAAAACATGCATGCATGCATGCTTAGATAATTGGATTACAGATATATAAACCATCAAAACTGCGCCTTGAAATCGGCTATGGCAATAACGAATAGGCTTTATTCAAAAAGCATTAACCTAACTTGCCTTTATCCAAACATAACACTTACGAAGAAAAACATTAACTTAAATTATTAGAAGAAAAGAGCAAAGGAAGAAGATGCTAAAACTCAATTATTAGAAGAAGAAAAAAAAAAGCCCAAACTTCAGTTTAACACAAAACAACTCAAAGATTCACCATAACATTCCCCCAGAGAGCGTGTCCCTAGTCCCTAGTTCGAGTTGTTGAACGACTAAAACAAGAAGCTGAATGATCTCACATCTCTAATCTGACTGCAGTTGCAATTATATATCGACCGTTCTAATTTATCGAGATTTACCTTGACTAGCGTTTTCTGCTGTGCCTTCGACTCTTCCTCCTACTACGTTCATGATCAGAATCAGACTCTGATTCAGACTCCGAGTCTGAATCAGAAGAATCTGAAGATGAGCTGTACCTCCTCTTCCTCCTCCCCCTCTTCTGCTTCTTTCTCCTTCTCCTTCTTCGACTCCTTTCTGACTCCGAATCAGATGAAGAACTGTAATCTGAACTGCTTTCTTCAGAAGAATCATCAGATCCAGTAACTGATGATGACCCACTATCAGTTTCAAATACAGAAGCCTCGCTATCACTATTGGATTTTAGTTCGGACCGATGCTTTCTTTTACTTTTCTTTTTCAATTGCCTCTTCTTGGTCTTCTTCTCCTCGTCACCAGAATCTGGGTTGTCCATCTCCAATGAGACTGCCATCTTCATCCTCAACTTCGGGTTTTTGAGTTGTTGAGTCCGAGATGGTCGGGATATGTAAACTCGTTCATTTTTGCATTCATATGTCCAGTGTCCCGACTGATAACATTTCTGGCACTGTGCAGCAGCTCCGCCCGCACTAGACATGGAGACCTTAATGTCCTTTCTTTCACCCAATCTTACTGCCTTTTCAGTACTCATCAAATACATCTGCCTCTTTGCTTCTCTTTTCTCCTGCCATCTGCTAGGCCCTTCTTCCTTTTGCCCATAAGCATTAACATTTCGAGCAGCAGCCGTAGCTGCTCGTTCAGCCTGAGCTCGACTAAGGCCTTTTGCAGCACTGAGAGCCGCAGCCTTAATCCTTTCAGCAGCTGCTTGCGACTTCTCTTCCTTCTTACTAGACATGCTTTGTTTTTTCAATATCTAAATCTAAAAAACACCGGCGGGGAACGATCAGAAATTGAAGGTCGCAACGAATTCCCAAATTAAGAGCAGATTGACATTAAGAGAAGAGAAGACAACGGAAAAAAAAAACGAAACGGGAAGTTTTAGGTTTCCTTCTTGTAAGACATGCCGTGACTTCAACATCTAAATGTAATAACCCAGGCGGAAAATGAATTGAAAGAACAAGATCATAGCAAATCCCCAAATTACAAGCAGATAAATTTACCAAGAACAAAGCAAGAAAAAATTAGGGCTTCCACTACTTACCGTAAAAGAGGGAAAAAACGAGAAAATTAGATCAAATTATAGCTTAAACATAATCACAGAAAATTCTTATGTTTCTGATTGAAAGATCGTAATCGAAATAAAAGGCCGACTTACACTCTAATCGATCTGATTCGTAAACCAAAGGGGAAATCGAAAGATCGAGTGAAATTACGCAATGTTTGCAGATACCTAACGCTCACAAAACCAGAAGAAAGTAGAGGAATCTCAGTTAGAACATACCTTGCTTAGGTGTCGAAGATGAAGCGGAATCCAGTTCGCATGCGAAGTAAAGAGGATCGCAGTAGAAGGCGATCTCGAATGGAACGCGAAGGAGCCGGGACGTAGGGTTTACAGTTTACACGGATTTGGTAAAGGGAGTTTTTTGGACCAACCCGATTCGGGTTGGGTCGGGTCGCAGGGAGTTTTTTTGGATATTTTATTTTTCTTTTTTTAATAGAGAAATTCCAACCCACACAAAAGCTTTATTAAAAACAAAAATCAGAAAATTTAGAACAATGGACGAACGTTGGGCAATAGAGACTTAAGTGTCGGGCGTCGACCGTGAGATGAAGAACAGACGACGGAGGAGGGCATAGGTGATGATCGTGATTATGTCAATACTGGAGATGAAAAAATGGAGGGAGTCATAGCACTGAGTCATAGCACTGTAATACATACTAGAGATGAGAAAATGGAGGGAGTCATAGCACTGTAATACATAATGGAGATGAGAAAATGGAGGGAGTCATAGCGCTGTGAGTCATAATCTATTGTCTCTAAAGTAAGTCATCAATGACAATGAGTAGTTTAAATGGGAAAGAGTGTCAACATGCTATGAAAACAATAGGTTGTGACCTTGACACGCTGACTGACAAGATAGTGATCTTCAAGTGGCACCCATCGGGCCACATGAGAACAATGATAGATAAATATCATGATGCGACCGAAGAGGACGGTGTATTGCAACATACCAAAAAGAGTGTGCATTAAAGTCAAATTGAGGCATAAGAAAGGTTTGAGAGAACTACGTGACACAAGTGTTGGAGACAAGCTTAGAGAGGACCAGGTAGAGACTTAGGCCATAATCTCATGTTAGTTTCAACATGTGACTTTGAGTTAACTAGACACCCGATGAACGCTCTACGAGGTATATGATTGCTCGCTCCAAAAAAAATATATATATAAAATATCTCAAAGAAAAGCCTATTATCTCTAAAAAGAAAAGAAATATTTTCAATTTTTTTCTTCAATATTCTTTCTTTTTATCTTTTGATAGCGTGTCCTTTTAAAGTGGAATTCATCTTTTGTTTTTTCCTTTCCATTTACTCGGATCTCTTCGATTTTGTCCGAATCCTCCTTTTCGTTCGAAAAAAGGGAAGGAGACAAGGAGACGTATCTTCTTTGGTGGATCCCTCTTGTTCCTGTTTAGTCCCCTTCTTTCAGTTTTTTAGTAAGAATGAGTGACGGTATTCTGCCTAAATAGTAAACATAGTAATAAATAAGAGAATACTAAAGATTCTCCTCCTCATTCTATTTTTCAATATTTAATATTGTAAAATGAGAATAATAAACCTTAGATATTCAAATTAGTTTATTTGTCGAACTTTTTTATTTATTTATTTTATTTATTCGTCTGTTGTGAAAAAGATCCAAAATAATATTTCCTTCATTTTTTTCTTTTTTCCTTTAAAATTTGGCCATTTTGATTTTTGGACTTAAATTAGACAACGGAAAAGAAATTAAAGAATCTGTGAAAATAAAAAATAAAGAAATTAAAGTAATTTTATATTTATTGTATGCGACTTCACCCTCTTTGGTTTGAAAATTTGCATTCATTAGCTTAATTAAATTACAAAATATAGGATAAATAAATAAAATATATATTTCCAAAAAGTAAAGATAAAGTAAGCCTATTTTACCCTTCCAATAAGGCCAATGGTATCAGTTATTCGTTAAAATCATACAAATTTCCAGATTTATTGGTTACCATTTTCTATCCCAACGAGGAGCGGATAAAAAGAACTAAACATTAAACCAAAAGTCCAAAAGATGAACATCATAATCATCTTAATAATAAAAGACGGAATGAACATGAAGGATGAACATCCCACAATTTGTCAAATGGCTCCGGTACCACACTCATACCTAAAATATGCTAGCAAAAATATTTGAAGCGGTCGATACAGCAGCACCAGTGATGGCATATTGTACGATATGCTCGTGAGAAGGCTTGTCCGATGTAAGCGCCACAGCTACGCCCGTCATGGCACCTGCAACTGCACTGTTCTTCTGCAATGGATGGAATGAAAGAATGGATCAAGATTTCAAGACATGAGACCAGAAGAACTAAACGTCTAAGTGGGCACCGTCTAAGTGGGTCTTTGGTGCTTGGTTAGAGTGTCCTTGTAGAGAAGGAAGGAACTATTTCTAATGTGATACACTTCTGATCAAATTTGACGTTTGTATTTGAAACTTGGTTGAATTGGATCCTTTTTGATTTCTATACCGAACATATACTTAAAGTCTACTTTAAACTTATAGATTGACACTAACCCTAAATCTCTGCCCTTGATAAATTCATGTACGGTTACATCAAAACCCTCACAAAAAAATTAAGAGCTCTAGTGGTCAGGTTGCTTTCTACCACATCATTTTAAATGAATGTTCAATTGAAGTTCATGAATCAACATAGCTAACCAGTGCTTTCAATTTTTTTTCATCCTTTGCTGTAATGTCTCGAGGTTTGCAACGATAACTTGCTATATCCACTATCGAACCATTAACTCAAATATGTCTATGATTAGCTAATTGGCGGGCTTCAGGAATAGCCAAAGCCATACCTTCCCCATGAAGAATTTTAGCCCGCCTCCGCTCTAAATCACGCCCCATACTTGGATCTAAACAATGAACATTTATTTGTAAATGGTGGAAGGCTTACCCAGTCATGTGCTCCACGAGCCTCCTTTAAACCGTATGTGAGACCAGAATAAACACCAGCAGCTAATCCTACAAACCAAAAAAAGAAGAAAAAAAGCTGAGAGCAATAAAATAAAATTAAACAGCATAAATATGCTATGAAATCACACCACCAAACCAAAAGCTTGGTAATTTTTCTCTGGATGTACCCTTTTTAGGGTGAAATACAATTGGTGAAGTAATAATCTGCCAAGCAACCTCAAAGAGAATAATCCATCTAATTGGTGAAGTAAATAGACACAAAAGCAAAAAATGGCACTCAACCCATTATCCATCTAATTGGTGAAGTAACATAAACCAGATGTGCAAGAAAGAAAATTAAGCCAGAATAGTACAATTTAACATTCATTAACGTTCAGTATTCAAGAATTCAGAGAAGGGATACTGACCCCATTGCATAGATTCCTTTCCCACATTCTTCACCTGATGTACCCATAAAATGAAAAATCATCACATGTTGATTGACCACCACTGTAAATAATTCATCACAAACTCAAAACTTGATCACCCTTTACAAACACTCACCATGGCTTCAAGAGACTCTTTGTTGGTTCCACCTGCACATCATATGAAGAAATGAGCTTCAAGCATCTCGAAGGACAAGATTAACTTGGACTTCACACAAATTATTCAGGAACATAATAAGGGGCAGTTCAGTTTTAGTCTGTATTAAGCAATAATTTGGCAATCCATGTCCCATATATTGCCCAAAATAACGCACATCTAAACAAATGGTATCGATTTATAACAATATAGTTATTAGAATTCAATTTAAAACATAGTTCGTACTTTCACGAGGCAAGAAAAACAAAATTAAACACAGTAGGCGGACTCAAGAACGACTTTGCTTGTGGATAAACAGAGCTGAGTTCGTAGGAAGATTCGGGTACCTGTAAAACCTGTAAACCTTTTGTTTCTACCATTGGATAATCCAGATGGTGCTCCACTATTCGAATCAAGACCTGTACGGACGATAACAATCTTTCGAGAATTACAAATTTTTGTTAACCAATTTAACCTCAAAGGTCTCCTAAACGAGTGACATCAAGCAAAGGAATAGATACACGAAAATGAATCAAAATCAAAACAAAGAGTTGAAAATTTGAAATGTAGAAAGAAGTCGAGTGAAATCAAAGCACGAGGATCAGATTTTAATATTAAATGAAACGGATCTTACTTCCCGCAACCGTAATATACGCCTCTCGAGATGCAGATTGCAATGCTCCTATCTGCACAACGAACAATCGACATCTTAAGGTTACCACATTGACATTGAGGTCCAACACAAAACAATATCACATCAAGAATATCACAGAAGTTAACAGAAATTAAGATCATGAAAGCTTACGAACCCCAGCGGCCTTGACGAAGCTATCAGCAACGCGATTGAGAAGAGGATGGCCAAAGTCGTACAAGAAGCCTCCGCCACAGTTCTCTAAGCATTTACCTCCCATTTCTTGTTTCTGCTTCTATAAATCAGAGATTGAACTCCAAAATCTGCAGTCGATTTGAATGCTAAAATCAGTGAGACGAAACGATCGCATGCGCTTCCCGGGGTAAGAAAAATGAAGAATATATAGGGAGGACGGCGAAGAAAGAGAGAAACAATAACGGAATGACACGTGTAAAGAGTATGACGTGTCACTTTTCAAACTCCGAAAGGGACGGTTACGTGGCAACTTGAGAGAATGAAATTCGTTACGTGGACTTCACTTCGTCTATATTTACACTAAAATACTTTGTTCTTTTCTTTTTCTTTTTCTTTTCTTTTTTACTTTTATTTTAAAATTATTTCAAAATAATTTAATTTAAATCTGAAATAAATTAGACCTTAAAATAAGAGATACCGAACTAAAAAAAAAAGGGGGAAATCAGATAGCTTGACTCATTCCCTTATTATTCCCTTGTAAAAATAGATAAATTTTATAAATAAATAAAAATTCAAATGTTCTAGGTTCGAATCTCTACATCACATATGGTTGAATTGAATTGAAATAAATACGCTTCATGGTCATCTCCATTTCCGATCCTTCCAACTCAATCATCGTTGTGGTATCATTCAACATATGCCGCACAACCTAGAATGAGCGCAAGTGTTTGTTCAAAAACGCTCGTTTCCAAATCTGTCACAACAATACTTATTTAGGTCAATTAACAGTCGACTATAGTAATGAACTAACTAAAACTGTTTTACAAACAAACATCACGAATTAAGGCTAGAACCAAAAACGCTCCAGAGCTCATAATTTATGAAGCTAAAAACGCAAAGATAAAGACCGATTTATAGGTGTCTACATTTCAGGTGAGTAAGCTCAATAGAGCGTAACGATAAAATCTAACCCAACCCAATCCAAATCCGCGTCCGTAGGGACTTGCCTGTCCCAATCTACTTAATGACATTAGTTTTTACACATCTGAGACATTGATATAAATATTTGTATACACCCCCCATCTGTTTTAGGTTTGGGGTGGGGGAGGGGTTGAAATCAGATAACAAAATTGATGCCAAGAACTATTCAACTTAAAGCAACGGTTTCTAAACTCGCGATAAACAACAGCCAGGTGCAAGGGCGTTCGAGTGCTACTCGAATACAGTACAAGAAGCTTGGAATCTACCACTCTGTCAGTACACTATTATACAGACAACAACTAGCTCCCTTGCTCCCTGTTGAGGTTGATGGAAAGCCACAAAGTCGATCCGGTCCAAGACTAGCTCCCTGTCTGTCGATCCAAGACTAGCCCTGATCCCTCTTCGCACAAAGCATATTCACAAGGCAAACGAAAATGGAAGAAAAGTGCAATCATCCTGCCAGGAAGAGTAAACCTACGATCCATTGACAGTCATTTCAGGAGAGGAGTTTGGAGGAATCAATGAACAGTCTTCTCCATTCAACTGTCTACTACTATCTGAAGGTTTAAGCAATGGATCAGAACACTTTTTAGAAGAGATTGGTTGCTTTTCTGTATGGTTCTCCTCGTCCAAACTACTTTTACCATCAGTTGAGTTTCTCAAAGCATTCTGATCCTTCACTTCCAGACTCTCGTGTTTGGAACTTTCGTTCCCATCTATCGAACGTGGCTTAGAATGCTGGGAACTCACTGCATTATTAGTAGGCAGAACAGCTTGGCTCAATTTCGAACACAAGGCGGAAAATACACCATCTTTCATTTTTAGATTTTTTCCCGGTCGCTGCGTTTTCACCTTCTCGGAATCCTTATCCTGGTGAAGAGGTTTACGCTTCAAACGGACTGTATGCAAGGCTCCTTCATCTTCCTCCACGGTTTCTGATTGTTTTTTTGGCGGTGGCTTGTAGTCTTCATCGTCCTCATCATCATCATAGTCAACAAGTCCACCACCAGGTCGAGAACTGTCGAGTTCAGGACAATCAAAAACTGCTTTTGTAATCAAAATTTATATTTAAAGCGAATCGCGGTACCTTGGCGGAGGATAATTCGCAGCAACTCCATTACATAGAATAGGTGGAGATTGTGCTTTCTGTAAATTTGAAACAGATGCAGTTGCAGTATCCTCTTCATCACTGATAGGTAATATGTTAATAACAGCCAGAATCAATTCTTATTGAAAGAACTACGCTAAAATCTGTTGCAAGTAATGAAGAAAAGTAAAAAATATTCCTGCAGTTCAGTGGAAAATTAGAGCTTCTTAGTACTGCTCGTTCCTCTTTTCCAGTATCGTTGTACCTTTAAATTTTCATTTCAATTTACCACGTTGGTAAAAAAGTATTTATTCCTACAAAATAGAAAAATAGTGCTTACCTCTCTTCATTAAAATAGTCTTCTTCTTCTTTCTCCAAAGCACACTCCTCGATTCTTGTTCTAGGGTCTAACACAATCGGAGTTGCGCCTCTTGTACCAAAAGCATCTAGACACTGCAAATAAAGATGTCATCACAAAATAGTACCCTTTTCGGAGAGCAAAACAGGAATTGCCTCAAGAAAGTTCTAAGAATACCTGTTCATATTTAACTTTTAGAGACTGAATAGAAGTCAAATACTCGAACTGAACCAACTGATTCCAAAATGAATTGACTATATACTTAACCAAAGATTTCAGATTTTCCTGCATGAAACACAAAATCACTAAATCAATGTTCTACCGGAATCACCAAAGAGCAAAGGTGGAAAAGAAGATGGGAGACCTTGAAGATGTATTCAAATAAATCTAAGACAGCTGAGTTGAGCAGATTGTAACGATTCCCATTAGCAACAAAGGCATCTATAATTGGTTTTAGAAGATTATTTCTGATAAAATAACTTATTAGATCATCATCCTGCATATTGACAAAGAAAACAATTCAGTACATATACCAATTTCAATCCGTATAAATAGAAAATTAAACAAATAGTAGTAGAAAACTATTGTTCTTTAATCCTAAGGGAATGACGTAAAGTCGAAGCATGATCCCTAATAACTGTGATTCCAATGTAATTACAATTCAAAATTTAATCCCCCGGGAAGATAAGAAGAAACAGAGGACTGTAATCTCATCAGTTCAAAAACCATAAATATAAAGAATAAAAGATAAATTCGTTCACTGCTGGTTCAACTTACATGTCGAGATAAAATAGTACGAATAAACCGAACAGCTGCAACAACCAGATATTTTTCTCTTCTTTGAGTCAGTAACAACACTTTATCTATGACATTATTGACGAGAAAGTTGGACCTGAAAACAAAATGAAAATAGCACAAAAATAATAACTTTTATGGTTGAAATAAACATCAATTCTAAAATAATCAAACAGGGGACAAAATATTACTTTATTTTATATGGATGGTGCAGAACACAAAAGCAAAGCAATTCACAGATGTTGGATAAAATTTCAGGCTTTACTGTGCTCTGATTCTTTAATACACCAGAGTGTCCAACTTTGTTGCTTAATCGATAAAGACCTTCTGAAGGGCATGAAACTGCTATAACATCAATTAATTGACCCAAATGATTTTCATAGAATATCTCGACAACAGTTTCTCTCTGCAACACCAAATACACAATATTGCAGTCAACGTAAATGGTTACAGCGGAAATTGTGCAAGTTTAACATAGATTGCATCAAATATGAAAAATTAAGGACAACTACCAAGAACCTGGTAGAATTAAATATAAATCAGAAATGTTAAAAATGTCCCAACAGGAAACAAACAGATAGCATGGACTTCGACAGGTACCATCCTACCATTACAGAAGGTGAGAATCCAAACAATGTGGCATATACAATGAGGTCTTTGAAACAAGGCTTCTGAATAGATTTAGAAGTTCTCATTGTTAGAAATTTGAAGGCAAAGCCAAGGGCCTATACAAATTAACTCTTAAAGATATAAAGACCTCCTTAGATTCTTTTTGTAATATTGTGCAGTACAGATCTTCATAATCATAGCATTTTTATGAACATGCAACCTAAGCATGAACAAAGTAGAGTGAACAATGGTAAGACCATGCAACCGAAGTAGAGGCAAAGTAGAGTGTGATAGGACCTAACTAAAGCTACGTTCTAATGAAAAAATACAACTCAACTGAAAGAGATCATTTTGAAGTTTTTAACCAAAGTAAACATGGATGAAAATCAGATGGCTAAGCAAACCTGGGTTGCTCCTGATAGTGTGAAGGAATCCAGTAAACATCGAAGGATTTCAAAGAACTGACAGTGCATCTCCTCACCAAAATCTGTAATCAGGCCTTGAACCTATGGTTTAAAAAATGGTGTAAATTATCTCTCATAGGCTTAATCCTCTATTAAAAATTTAACTTGAAAAAAAAGCTACATGTCACAGCACTTCTGCCTTTATAATTATATATCAGATATACTTGTGGTTATTGATCCTACTGTGTTCACAAGTTCACTTGCATCACTTTCCCCAATATTGCCTATTCCTTGAAAATAAGCAGAACACGAACAAGCATGTATATGAGAACAGGAGCCCTTTCTTGAAATACTTGTTTCTTTCTTCTTATTTTTGGTTGGGCTCCTCTGCTTGTGCTGCTCTTGTATGGCTCTTTTTTTCATCTTTTTTCCTTCTTTTGTAGAATCAGCGAGTATTTTTTTTTTTTTTTTCCACTTTTCTTGATGAAAGTTTTCCTTTTCATTTAAAGTTCAAATCAGACAACAAATTAGAAACACGTACCAACAGTCCTAGGAGTGGAATCCCTTCCTTCCTGACAACATGAGAACGTAGAAGATTTGGATCTTGGTTCAAGAAAAGAATAAGGATATCTGTCCTGCACCCATGCAAACAATCCATTACTGAGATGCCTAAGAAAATATTGAAATAAAGATAGATTGAACAAAACAGATGACAAGTGTGCTGCCAAAAAATTTTGTATTTGCCTTCTAAATTTTTAAGACAAATTCTTTTCTTTTCTTTTTTCTTTCAGAAAACCTAATAAAGTAGAGGATTCATAAAAAAGAATTGATATATAATTGTTAGAACTCAAGAAGGTACGACCTCATGAAACAAACCAATGTCTTCTTCAGATAAAAACCTTCAAGTGTTTTTTTCTTAAGAACCATAGAAATTGGCAATGAATAGGTAGTACAAATAAGTAGACAATGTAAAAGTTCCTTCCTAAACATTCGTAAAACAGTTTACAGTTCTAAAATATTGTTTATGGAAATGCACTCAAACAAAACCAAAATTTAATCAGAAGGTTGACATTACCCAGTTAACACAAACTTTTTATCTGGACTTTGTAATACATCGGCAATGACATCAAAAATTCCCTCATTCATAAGATCCCTGCAGAATTTGCAAGTTCACAATTTGAAACAACTCAACAAGGAGTCTTAAGAAAACAGCAACTGGTAGATATCAGCATCTTAAATTAAAATAGAAATTACATTGTCAAAAAGAAATAATAGTATATCATGCGGAAGGTACCTAAATAGCCGTAGCTGCTGAACCATATGCAAATTTTTACTTAAACTGCAAAACTCATGCAAAAAACGTACCTAACACAAAAATAATTAGTTTATGATAACATCATTTCAAAATAACTCAAAATATACCTCAAGAAATTGAGAATAGGAAATTACAGCATTAAAGATCAAATTAAATTGAACTATAGCACAAGAACATGTAGCCACTACATAACAAGGGAAAAAATAATGCTTAGAAGCAAAAGTACCAAATTCTTCTTAGATTCTTCAGAGGTCGTTGGCAATTTCAACGTAATGAACAACTCCTGAATAAATGTATTGTCATCCTTCAACAACGAAACAACCTACAATGAAACCTGATGTTAGAGTGTGTACACATCACCTCAAAAACAAGCATATGTTTCAAAAAACCTACCAGTGCATTGTTTGCGTGGATAATGGAATTTAGATTTGCAATTGTGGACTCATCCAATACTCTAGCCAAAACAACATCCTAGCAAAGTAATCAAAGATAACAGCACATTATCAACTAGCTCAACGGATAGAGAAATTGCACCTATCAAAGATCCAGACCTTTAGATAGCCAATTCTGTATGTTTGATGTATCTTTGACAAGACCGATGGATCCTTGATGGGTATGGCCTACAAAAGTGAAAACCAAGACATATAAAATATAAAAGGAAAAGTCTCCACATACGACTGCATAATGAGACCCAATGGTCCACTGTCCTTCGCTCTCACTCAAATATGGTCGCTGGGTACCGCATTACCTCTTTGAAAATAACGTTCTCTTTCAAAAAGTTACGATGATGCTGGACATGAGGTACCTCTGGATCGTCTGGCAATCACATAAAAAATAGAAGTAAAAAGTCATTGAGGGTACTCCCCAAAACCTATATCATATCGATAGAGAAATTAGCTGAAGATACACAACATACCAAGCCCACTTTTCAGTCAACAAAATCAGAGACTTGATATAAAATTAAAGAGTATAGAACGCCCAACCCACATTAAGAGAGCTACAAAAACCACCTTCCAATAAGCCTAGGAGTAGAGAGTTCATAATCACAAAACATCTTGAACAAATTGGACCAAATCAGAGCAGCAAAAACAAGATAAAATTAAATATCCATACTCTATTTCTAGTATAAATATAAAGAAACAATTATAGATGAGAATCAATTTAAAAAATAACAAAGCTTACATTCTAGAGAACCAATAATGTCCATGATTAATTCGTCTCCAAAAATTTTCTCGAAGATCTGTGAGCTATTCAGCAGGACTGCATTTTATTTATAAAAAAAAATAAGTACAAAAAACATAAAATAATTGCTAGAAATAATAGTAATAGAACCAGAAAAGAATACTGACTGATTCCTCTAACTATTTTATATATCATGTGAAGACCATCAAGATTTTCCATGTCTTCGCAGATAAGAAATATGTCCATCAGCTTTTTAAAAAAATCTTGCTGAATATGAAAAAATTGTCAGTCAAACACTCATTCTTGTTCATCCAAGGTAAAGATTTCATGCAGAAGACATAAGAAAACCCAAATTTAAATAAAACTCACAAACTTGTTCAAATCTTACATTGGCAACTATGAGTTCCACTAACCGCATCTGATCTGCAATGCCACTTTCAACGACAATCTAAACAAAAAGTATCAATTAATATGAAAGGTTGTCTGCACCCAAATAATCAGGGAAGGACGATATTTATGCCACTTTTAACAACCAGGGAAGAACGATATTTATCTAAGAAGCCAATAATTCATATTCCATGAAATGAGTAGTATTGAAGAGTCATTAAAATGCCATGCCATACTGGTATTGACTACATCACAACGTGTAAACATGAAATACCAACCACAATTAGTTCCTTATTATTAAAAAGAAGTGACAATAACTCATTTCAGTAATGTAAGGTACAATGGGAATAATCAGCATGAGGATACCTAGGCCAGTATTAAAAGATGCGAGTCTAACTGGAATATGATTCAACTGAATAAGCAGCCTATGACTGGCTAGAGTAGGGAAGGGGAATATAAAAAGGGGGGAGAGGACTACGGGAAATTGCCGAATGTAAATTTGTATATGATTCAGTTGGATTAATCAGCAAAGGTTATTGGATTGTCCTGGTAGGTGATTAAGCTTATTAACTGCAGCTTTAATAGAATTTGAATATAAAATTCCTCATGTTGTTCCTTAAGAGTTTGTTTATCCAAAAAGGGTACAGGAAGAGAGAGAAGGAAGTAGTTTTATATTTGAGTGTAAATTTTTAAATTGTTTTATGTTTTCTAGAGAGAGAGAAAACCCAAACTACCAAGCATGTTCTCATAGTCACTTATTAAAAGTTAGACATGTTTGGGAGTAGTTTCCAAAACAGTTCTCTCCCAAAATTGTTTTGGCTAATTAATTTTTAGAACTTGTTTTTGTCTAGTTTTCTATTAGTACCTTTATACTAACCTTAAGTATTAGTGGCAGTGTTGATAGCTCAATTGCAGGCAATTCCCTCAACTCACTGTTCATGCGGTGGAACGTATCATCTGGCCATATAGTAATGGAGACAAGGAATTATTCAAAACTAGTATCTGCCAAAATAAATGCAACTTTTTCTTTATGAATTAGCCATGGTACCAGTTTTCTTTCTTTTTTTTCTACAGAATTTCTTTCTTTTTTTTCTACAGAAAACCAAGTCTTTTTTTTTTAAATGAAAAAAAAAAATACAAGAGCATACTAAAAAAAACAAACCCACAAAAGGATTACTTCACTGTTACTAACAACAAGAATGGACTTCAATCCAAACAGGTGAGACCAAGATATTCGCCTTTCTCTTTGACTTCCACAAAGCTAACACAAAAGGTTCAGGAATTTAAGGAGCTGAACAAGTCCTTTAACCAGTGAGTTGACTGAAGGAATCAAAAAATTATCCAACTTCCAGCATATCTCCCGTCAGAGTTCCAATGGACCACAAAACTACCTCATCTCCTCGTATGAAAATTTCTTATGATGATAATTCTCCAAGGTCTTTACTCTCTAAGTCCTGATAAATCAATCATGTTCCACACTCGACTGACTACTACAAAATTGTGACAGATTTAAACGCTATTCTTCTAATTTCACAGCACAAACTTAAAACAGAGGCCAACAAGGACTAGAAATAAATAAATATAAAAAATTTGAGCAGTGTTTCCAATCAAAATATATAGGAAACAATGCTCAAATTCTATATTACAAACGATATTCAAATGAGTGTCAAATATTTGGTCCAGAGGAAATGGAAAGAGAAAACTAAACTTTTTTTCCTTAATAAAACTATTCAACTAATGAAAGTAAAAAATTATGCAACCCCATCGGTAAGATCAAAACATATGCTACTGAAAAGATTAAAATTTTCATTTGAACAGTTAACTACAATTTTCTTTTTAATCCTACAAAAGCCAAAGGTCGTCAGATTTTGAAGCCATGTTAACTACTGCCCTTTTCAGTACAAAAGAGTTTTATGTTTGAGTTTTGGCGTGTCAATTTCAATATAGCCCATTCATATTTTTAGCCTCCAACTGGGTACTAAGTTCAAAGGATGTTTCCCACTCAAAAGCTAGAACACCTAAGTAAATGTAGCCTCCACTCCATAACAGAAAATCTACAACATTAAGTATCCTATCATGATGAATGTAATGCAAAGAACAAAATCAGATATGTTCAGTGGTAAAAGGCCTCAAATAATTGAGTACTTACTGTTGAGAGAATTAAAATGGAGATTCCTTTGCACATTGCAGATGTGATCCCTAAATAAGATAAGCCAACTTTTAGCTAGCCTATCATGGGGCAAAACATTAGAGAGTGACTGCTATCTATTCAATAGTTACCATATGTATGAACATCCAGTTGTCTCTTGGAAGCTTAGAGCTAGCTCTGTAGAATATTCTGGATCTCTCCAAGAGATTATAGTATCTGCATATTTAAGAAGCTAACTTTGTTAGTACTTAAAAAGTCAACATAAGCCTCCATCCAAACCAACCAGGAATTTAAAGTACTGCAAGTACACATCACAAAGAAGATTCATGTTGATGATACTGTTGAAGTCTATAAGAAAAGAAAGAAAAACCTTCTTGCTTTCTGTAAATGTCGTCTGAGCTAATACGGTGAAGAAAAAGAGTCTCATTGTCCTCTTCATCAACAACACATAGTCCCAACTCCTCCGATCTCTGAGTGCAATTAAATTTACGTTCATATCAGTGAAGATCATGGTAAATGCACTACTTTAGACCTTTATCTCTCTCCTCCCTTTTCACAAATTGGAGAAATCTTTTGTAACTTCTTTGGTTTGGATCCTTCTTTTGTAAATTTCATACATCAATAAAATTTATTTCTTATCCAAAAAAACAAAGTTTCCCATCCAAAACAAAGAAAAGGGGAAAAAGTCAGTCACAAACCTCCAAATAGTCAACAGTAACGTGCCCTGTTCCTTGATCATCCCATTTTCCATCATCATTTAAACGATAAACTTTGACACGCTGAAATTTGAGGGTATAAACAATAAGGATCAAGCACAACATCAAACAACAAATGAAATTAATAAAATAAAATGAATTGAGTTTGAACTTCCTCAAGGTCATCGCAAACCCATTCACAACATGACAAGTCAATTGAATGGACAACTCAAATGTATGCAACTATCAACCACTACATACATGAGCAGGGTAGTTGTTGTAAGAAACGTATTGACCAGCAGGGGGTGAACCACAAGCACTTGGACTAGCTTGCAACTGGGCGGAGTGCCAGATCCAATCTTGTAATGACCAAAAGGGGAAATCCAAATAAAGCTGAATTCTGGGATACAGTGTTGGAAGAGGTGATGTGAAACTTGTAAAACAAAGAAACATGACTATCTATTGGAGGCATGCATGGTACGAGTTCAAAAATATGTGGGGATGGAAATTTGAGCCTCAGATATTTTGGCCGAGGATAAAATCTTAACCAATTGAGTTATATTTAAGTTATCCTAAAGGAAGGAAAGTCGACCAAGTCCAATCTATTTTTCGTAGGATCCCACCATATTTTCTTTGTCTTTTCAAAAAAGCACCTAATATAGCTCCCCAAACATTAGAACACGAGGTTGAGACTTTCATTGAACAGAAGAAGGTGTTAGATGAGGAAGTCATCTTATAAGCTGGAATATTCTCTCCCTCCATCCTAAAGTAGCAGACCTGGGCTTAATATCTTCTGGAGGAAGATGAATATTTCACTAATCTCAAAATGAGTGAGCATGTATCAATAACCAGGAACCCTATAGCATTATATTGTGATGTGAGTATCCCTGGAATATACAGGGCTGTTCACAAACATATGTTCGCGGTTTCAAAAAACTGAATTCTTGTTAGAAATTTGGAACCATGAAGTCTGTAACTTGTTTGTTTTCTTAGCATGAGTTTTAAATGACGAGATTTGAACCTTTAAAATTGACCAACAAATTTAATCACAAGTCAAGCTCTAGCACCCTGTTTCGGAAAACTGAGTTACCAGTATTACTGTGCATTAGGAGTCTTTATTGTGATAGCTCTAGCATTATATTGAACTAGTTTCATGCAACTCCAAGCAGTGCTAAAAAATACTCAAAGGGCTTTGAATTGAAGCACTTAATTAATGATTCGATACTCTAACCTTTTGGTAGATTTCCAATGTCTTAACTCTTAAAAGTTATAAAATACTAAGTCAAATAATTGCGACTACCCTCCAATGTTTCTAAGTACCTATAAAATTTCTCTGTGCCCTCCAGATTTAATTTTTTTGCGAACACATAAAGCTTGCCAGTTAAGTTTCATATAGTAAAGCTCATAGTAAACTTTAATGTAGGCGTAATCAAGAGCGGGTAATTAGAAAACAGTATTTGCTTCTTGGTTCGTACTACTTGAAGAAACAGATTCCGGGTAGCAGAGCAAGTCAAACTTCCATAAATGTCCAGTCGAGCAATGCCGGAAACAAACCCTCAGACGGACACAAATTATAGCAAAAAAGTACAATACTAAACATTAATTGAATAACTCAGCCACGAAATCACAAGGCTAGCTAGATATCTGCGCCTAGTAGCTTTCAGTGTCAAAGCAGCGAGATTCCCAACATAATAAATAACTCACCTGCATAGAATTGGAGGTCGCCGGAGATCTATCTGGCGCCCCCATAACAACTGCGACAAAATTGACTCAACTTCAAAGGCAATCTTGAAGTGGAGTGCACAGCAGTGGAGATTGATGCATGAAGAATTTAGGGTTTCAGAAACGATGAAACAGAGCGCAGAAGAAACTAAGTATGGGGAAAGATTTCAGTGAGACTTGAAAGTAGAAACCCAATACGCCATGGACATGACAGTGGGAGCTTTCAATTCCGTATCTTTCGTCTTCTTCCTCTTTCCTGCTCGCTCCTCCTCCTCCGGTGTGTGTCTTTCCACTTTTCTAGCCTGTAAGAAAGAGAGAAAATATCTATCCCGCATGTTGGAAATAGAAACCTCGATTTGCAGTTATGCCCTTCATTTTTCATAAAATAACAAACTAGCCACCTCGCCAATTATGAACGCGTACCGTTACGCGCTCTTTTTTTCCTTTACGCCGATTTTACGCGCCCTTTTGTTGCCCAAAGAAGTCAGCCTGTCAAGTATGACCGTAACATTCTTCTACGCTTTTGTAAACAATATTTTGTTCTCCTCTTCAACTAATGTGAGATTTCAAAGTTCACGCCCCTTCGAAGCCCATTGTTCTCGCAGTCACTCATTTCCTTCTCCAATCAATGTGGGACCCTCCAGTCCACCCCTCGAGGCTCAACATCATCGCGGACACAACGCATGGTATTTGGTGTCACGGTCATGCTCGTCCAAGGTATGTTGCCCGTGCTCACATGCCCATAACAAGCCAAACGTCTTTTCATATTCTGGTATTTTACTTTTGTATTTCTAGGAAGTATGACGTTTAAGAAATATCATGTATAGGCCTGTTAGACATGAAATGTCTTGGAATGTATTATAGGGGGATAAGGCTAATTGTCAACTTCTCGTTACGCAAGATTATATACTCTAAGATGTTGTTATTTCTCTCTTACTGGCTTATATGACGTCTCTTTAAAAAAAATCTCTTTCGAAAATCTCTCTCATCCACGTTTTTTAAAACATTCTCTTAAAACTGAAGCCATAGGCTCGAGCATACGTCGCATGGTCGTAGGCGACGCAAGAACGAATAGGCTTATAAGAATGTTTGATTAATCCACCTCACCTAAATGGTGTGAAAGTTATCTTATTTACAATCAAATAAATTACAAGAATATGGAAAGAGTAATAAATGGAAATAACAATAAATAAAATGCATTATAATAAGATATAAAATATGATATATATGATAAACTATAATTTATTACTAAATATCCTTAACACTCCACCGCAAGCTAAGAGTCGGATTTAAATGAACGTGAATCTTGAATCTGAAAAATTCAAAGAAGTTGAGAAACACTTTTTTGTGAAGATGTTAACAAGGTGGTTCAGAGGAGGCTTAGAGAAACACTTTCTTGGCCATCAAAAATTGCAGAGGGATCGCCGCTCAGGGGCGATGCTGCCTTGGCTTCGGTGAGGATATGTCTAACCCAGGATTGTCGCTTAGCGACAATGCTTACTTTTAACCCCAAGAAGTAGAAGGGGAAACCTAGAGCAAGGGACAAAGACAATGTTGAAGTTGGAAGAGTCGCCACATTGGGCGAAGGAGCCAATTTTGCGAGAAGGGCGGCGCCAACTTGGTTAGCGAAGAGGCTAGTGCGGCTCCTATATTCCAAAGGTAAATCTTTGCATAAGGTCGATGGGCTTATCGAGATTCTGTATATTTTCGAAGAGAACATCCGATGAAGATCCTAACATTAGAGTTTTTATGAAGGATGAAGGGAAAATTGGGAAGAAAATGAAAGAGGCTATATTTGGAAAATGTGAGGTTGTATGTACAGAGTATGATTAAGAGGTCAAAAAAGAGTAATCAGCTCTGTGGCAGCCATGATGACTGCTCCTACGATGTCAAAGCCAGCAGTGGTGGTGGAGAAGAACAATGGAAGATTTTAAAAGCCATTAAAAAGAAAGAATCTCAGGTTACTAAACCAAAATGACTCCGATACCATAAGAATGTTTGATTAATCCACCACTTCATCCATCACAGTTAAATGATGTGAAAGTTATCTTATTTATAATCAAATAAATTATGGAAAGAGTAATATATTAGCTCGAGTTATCTTTACAAAGATATGGACAAAGATATGGAAAGAGTAATAAATAGAAATAACAATAAATAAAAAGATACCTGGTAAACTATAATTTATTACTAAATATCTTTAACAGCTTAGCTCACTTATCATTTGAAAGTGAGTGTCGCACAATCGTAAGTCTGCTGCCATCAAAAGTGCGATTGTGACATTTGGCTTCAATGTCATTTGTAACAGTCCAAGCCCATCGCTTAGCTCACTTATCATTTGAAAGTGAGTGTCGCACAATCGTAAGTCTGCTGCCATCAAAAGTGCGATTGTGACATTTGGCTTCAATGTCATTTGTAACAGTCCAAGCTCATCGCTTAGCTCACTTATCATTTGAAAGTGAGTGTCGCACAATCGTAAGTCTGCTGCCATCAAAAGTGCGATTGTGACATTTGGCTTCAATGTCATTTGTAACAGTCCAAGCCCATCGCTAACAAATATTGTTCTCCTTGAGTTGCCCCTTTCAAGCTTTTCTTCAAGATTTTTAAAATGCGTCTACTGGAAATATGTTATCGTACTGTTATAAAAAATGTTTCTCACACCCTTATTGATAAGAAATCGACCCAATGGAAATGTCTGATTCCAAATGATAAGGAATCAGTACGAGGGGAGTAAGATTCAAATTACCTTGTTGAAAGAATATCTCAGGTCAATAACACTTGTTTGAGATTCGAATCACTCCACAAACAAGATTAATCATGTTGAACGTGAATGATTCAACATGCAACCTAAACTACATATAATTGCAAATAAACTTAGTCAATGGCAAAAGAAAGCACAAATGATTTGTAACATTATGTTTGATTTTTTTAATATAACAAGGGTAGACATGTCATTTTTTTAGTTCAACGACTACGTGAATGTTTCAAATGTTCCATCTTAATCCGGAGTAATTAATTTGTCTTAAGATAGTCTAATAAAACAACTCGAGCCTTCGAATCATGACTACAAAAGCTATTGGTAAGTCAAACGTGCAGTTCGAAGTTTAAGAGGGCTAAATTGTCGGGTATAATCGTAAACTTTCATTTTGTTTATCAAGAGGTATATATCGTCACAAGATATAAAATAATTAAAAAAATATTTATTGCAATATGAAAAACTAAGAAAAAAATAATGCACTTTTAAAAGAATAAAAATAATTTGGAATAATTAAGTATTTTATTTTCCACAAAAAAAAAAAAGAAAAAAAAAGGCCACAAAGGCCACAAAGGCACAAGCGAGAACAAGAACAGCTAAGTGGCCCCTTGTCCATCCGCCGCGCTTAGTAATATCCGCCCGCTCTCAACGGATTATTCGAGGCTACTCTCTTTAACTGCTCACCAAAACCAGTTTCCATTTCCCCTTAGATCTCTCTCCTTCAGATCTTCGTCCTCAAATTCATACATTCCACTTGCAAATCTTCTGCATACCAATCTCGAAATGCAGTCATCAATCTCCCTCTCAATCTCCTCCTCTTCATTGGCCCCACTCAGATCAAATTCCGCCACTGATTTCGCTCATTTCGCTCCTATCAATCTTCGTTTCTGCGGCCTCAGGCGCGAGGCCTTGGGATTTTCATCCCTCAAACACTCTGATTCAAAGAGAGTTCACATCTCAGCTGGTTCGAGTTCCAGGCGGAAGGTCTTTGCTGCTCTCTCCGGCAATGGAAGTCCCTCCAAATTTGACTACGATTTGCTCATTATTGGAGCTGGTGTTGGTGGTCATGGAGCAGCGCTTCACGCTGTCGAGAAGGTAGTAAAAGAAGCTATGGTACCTCGTTTCTTTCATTTCTTGAGGAAACTTTGGGAGCTCGAGTGTGGTTGTATCAAATATTGTGCGTATTTTACGCTAACCGAGATCGTTTTTGTTTACTACATTTAAGGCTCATTTGACCAAAAAGGGTTTCCAAATGTAGCTCGACTATGTTTTTTGTTGCCAGCTCAAATTATTTCGGCTTGTATCTACTACTGCCGTTTTTTGTCTCTTTAATACAGTCATTATCATTTTATCTCTGACCAATGACAATATGGTGAATGATTTTAGCCGAAATTTAAATATTTTGGTAATGTTCATGATATATGACTTAAATCCAGTTTGTGCATCTGGCTGGCACTAGTAATGATCGTTCATATTGTCGATCAGGAGATAATACTGACTGGCACTAGTCATGATATAATTCTCTAGAATGCTGATCTTGCAGGGTCTGAAAACTGCCATTGTGGAGGGAGACGTGGTGGGAGGAACATGCGTAAACAGAGGATGTGTTCCTTCTAAAGCTCTTCTGGCTGTAAGTGGAAGGATGCGTGAACTTCAGAATGAACATCACCTGAAGGCTTTGGGTCTGCAGGTATCGAGTTTATGGAATCAGAGATCTTGAACTTAGAATTACATATAGTAATTTTTAAAGGATCAAGTTTTCGTGCCTATTTACCAACTGTATTTTCAATCCTTACCGATAACAAGTTTTGTGCTTGATTATTGTTTTGTTGATTGGAGTCGATCAACTACTATTATTCTTCTGACTTCTTTCCATTCTTTATTTTAACTCATGTGTAGGTATCAGCTGCTGGATATGATAGACAAGGAGTGGCTGATCATGCCAATAATCTTGCTTCAAAAATTCGTAATAACTTGACCAACTCGATGAAAGCGCTTGGAGTGGATATACTGACAGGCGTTGGTACAATTTTGGTAAGTTTACTTGTGGGTTCATGAAGAGAAAGTTTCTTTCTTTGGTAGCTTTAGATGATTTTATGGTATCAATCCTCATGTCACCAGTCAATTTGTAACATCTTGAGAATTGAGATATTAACCCCACGATCCATTTGATAAAATTGTTGGTTATTGTCTTCTTGAGTCTTGAACTCATGTCACTTATTGGATTTTTTAGGGTCCTCAAAAGGTGCAGATTGGTTCTTCTGACAAAATAGTTACTGCAAAAGACATAATCATTGCTACTGGTTCTGTCCCATTTGTTCCGAAGGGCATTGAAGTTGATGGTAAACATCAATCGTCCTCCTTTTCTCATCCATATAACTTGTGCAAAGCATATCAATTGTTTTAGTTCTCGAAATCTTGTGAATACAAAGCCATGCGAGAGTCACAAATTTGAATTGAGTTGTTTTTGCCTGACTTTTCAGTCATTGGTTTATTATGACGTGACTACTTAAAGTTAACACCAGATAAGGTGAGAAATTTCCAATTAAAATTCTCAACCTCATTTATGGAGGTGGTAAATGTTAATTTTATATCATCATTGGATGTGTAGTATAAATGTCCTTGACACAAAGTCTTACATTTTAAGATATGAAACTGTAGCATAATGTTAGATTTGTTTTTAAAGTAAAACAGTTTGGAACTAAGAATGCAGTCTGCCTCATTGATTTTTGTTAATTTTGTGTTAAAGTTTGGTCGAGTGAGATGGTGTAGTGAACTTCTTTCTTTCGTAGAGAGATTAATTTTCTCAATGGCTTAGTCAAGAATTTGTAGTTAGGTGCCCCACTTTGCTTTTGCGTTGGAACTTTTCTCAGAATTTGGTCAAAGTTGGTGCATTTAGATATATCTTGGAATTGTTGACTTTAGTTAATTATACGAGCACTTGTAAACATGCTTGAAGTATTATATATGTTTGGCTAGGATATTAATGCTGTTTGTTGACTGTATTACCCTGCAAGTTAAGATTTCAGAACTTCCTACTCATTGAACATAATTCCTCTACAACAAAAGTGATTAATGAATAATTATTTAAACAAAAGTGGATAATTCCTCTAATTTTTATCAATGAAGTGGATATATATATGGTAAAAAGGGGACAGTTTTACTTGAAAATTTCATTTTATATACGCCATTACAGCACTTCACAAACTTCACATTCTTTTAGTGCCAAGTCATCTCATTGGACACATTTTCTTGTAGGAATTAATCCTTTTTTGTTGGTTTAATTTTATTTTCTTACAATGTAATTGAATTTTTATTATTTTACTTATTATTTTTATTTGTAGGAATTAATGCTTAATTGATGGTTTATACAGGGAAAACTGTTATTACCAGTGACCATGCACTAAAACTGGAATTTGTTCCTGAGTGGATCGCCATTGTTGGGAGTGGCTATATTGGCCTTGAGTTCAGCGATGTGTACACTGCCCTAGGAAGTGAGGTTGGTCTTCCTCTCTACAGATTAGAAGATCTAATTCCCATAGTGTTTTTAACTTGTATGTATTTGTTGCTTGGTTACGTGATCATGTACAAATCAAGGCAGTGCTTGAAGCTCTTCTAAACCTGTTACTTTAATTTTTTTGGTTGAATATTTGTTGCTGTATCTTAATTCATGTACTGTTCTCTGGCAAATGTGTCACAGTTGAGTTTTTGCACCTAAACAACTAAGTACATAAATTGGCTGAAATTTAATAGTTTCAGGACATTGCTTAAAGATTCTAGAAGGCGATATAATCCTTTCAGGCCTGAGATTAAGGGGGAAAATCACAACTATGTTGGTAACTTTTTGATTGTCATTCTGATGAGGCTGTCCTTTTTGTGGTTTATAACTCTATAACATGAGTTTGGACCAAACTATGTTGAATTAAATTTGCTACAAGCATCTTTACCCAACTCTTATAGGAAAAGTGAAGCTTAGAAGAAAGGAATAAGCTTTTCTTCTGTAATAGAGATGCTCTAACAAAGCCTAGTGGGTATGGAGAAAGGGATCTTTTGGATGTCAAACAAAAATAGAGGGGACTAAACATTAACAAATCTTTTCTTTCAAAGGACATCCAGGTATTTAAAACGTATAGGAATACAAATACTGATGCAGGGAGTGTCTTTCAATCTATTACAATTTATAGTGAGCCATGTAATTGTTCACTTATTTTTAAAAGGGAATAAGTAATGATTAATATATCTTGCAATGTAGTTCATCATAATGCTATTCTTTGCAGGTTACCTTTATTGAGGCGCTTGATCAGCTTATGCCTGGTTTTGATCCTGAGATTGGAAAATTGGCCCAGAGGGTTCTAATAAATCCACGAAAAATTGACTATCATACTGGAGTATTTGCATCTAAGGTTATGCATAGTTTTATCCTTCAGAATCTAAGACTTTTTTCCCTTTTTGTTTTGAATATTTTTTTAAATTGGCTCGTGTTTTCTTTGTTCTTATAAAGATTACTCCAGCAAAGGATGGGAAGCCAGTTACTATAGAGCTTATAGATGCAAAGACTAAGGAACTTAAAGATACTTTAGAGGTAACTCACGTTTTTGGTAGCTGTCTTTACTGGAGTTTCTTTTTATTATGATGATGCTCGAATGGGAATACTGGTTTACGTAGTTTTCCCAAGTATTCATAGGCTCTGGGGGTAATAAAGGGGAGATTAGAAAACTAACATTAATCTTGAACTCCATCACACTGCAAGAATAAATGCTGTTATCTGTTGTAAAGGCAATGGTTGCTTTGTTGATGCTATCTTGAAATATTAAGCCTTCTTTCCCCTTGCCACAGGTAGATGCAGCATTGATTGCAACTGGAAGGGCCCCATTCACCAACGGCCTTGGATTAGAGAATGTATGTCTCCTCGTACACTAATTTCAAATAGATCATCTCTAGCGGTTCACTAATATAATAGACAACTTCAATTTTTTTAAAATTTATTTGCAGATCAATGTGGCCACACAACGTGGTTTTATTCCTGTTGACGAGCGCATGAGAGTGATTGACGCAAATGGAAAACTGGTACATAATACAAGAAATTTACTTTGGCTAACCTTTCATTTTTACCACTATAATCATTGTTGGTACGTATTTTACATGCTAGGTTCCTCATGTGTACTGCATAGGCGATGCAAATGGGAAGATGATGCTTGCTCATGCAGCCAGCGCACAGGGCATTTCGGGTAAGTAGTTGCCAACCAATCATTATCTTTGCCATAAACTCCAACTAAACAATTAACCATTTAAAACCAACCTTTTCACAGTGGTTGAACAAGTTACTGGAAGGGATCACGTGCTCAATCATTTAAGCATCCCTGCAGCTTGTTTCACTCATCCCGAAATTAGTATGGTTGGACTAACTGAGGTAAAAATATAATCATCATGGAAGCTTTTTGTGATCTGCATTATTAATTGTTATTGATTATGTTATATTACGTTTGTTCGTTTCATTAGGTTAACAGTGAGCACAGTATTCTTGCGTTTAAATCTTATCAAGCCTTTTCCCCTATTTGTTCACTTGTACTTTCAAGTTTCAGTATCTAAAGATCAACTAAATGCATTATTATTGCAGCCTCAAGCCAGGGAGAAAGCCCAGAAGGAGGGATTTGAAGTAAGTGTTGCCAAGACAAGTTTTAAGGCAAACACAAAGGCCCTTGCAGAAAATGAAGGAGAGGGGCTAGCCAAGGTTACATTTCTGCAACCTCTATTCACACCTTTCTTCAATGATATACGTCGATGGTTTTCAGTTGGTGATAATTCCATTATTTTCACCTCATCCAGCTAATATATAGACCCGATAATGGAGAGATACTTGGAGTTCATATTTTCGGATTGCACGCTGCAGATCTGATCCACGAAGCATCAAACGCAATAGCACTAGGAACACGCATTCAGGTAAGTTTCACTGTGAAAATCAATATCCTTTTGTGTGCCAGGACTGATATGGAATGCAAACCCCGCCTCCCAGAAGAATACATAACCCTGTCTGAACTCCTTAAATCTATAACGATTAGGTTACAGATCTGCTTTACTTGAGAAGAAAAAACGCCTACGAACAATTAGTCTTCGAGTTGCACAATTTTCTCAAAGCCTGACTCATATTTGACTCCCAAAATGTTGATGCAGGATATTAAATTAGCGGTTCATGCACATCCAACCCTATCCGAGGTGCTCGATGAACTATTTAAATCAGCTAAGGTCAGCTTAACATTTTGCTAGATCATATGCTTAACCTACAAGTTTCGATGAACTATTCTAATGATTTCCTTTTCAATATCAAGCGTGTCAATGGAATCCAGCTTATGCATATACAATAGTTTTCATTTCTTGTCAATGCACCGAAAGTCCATGAATTACACAATCTCCGTTCACTGAATGAGTTGCTCAATTTCAGACACTAAAAAGTTTCTCCTCCCCCTGGTTCTTCTTTATTTGATACAAAAAATGCCTTTTCAACAGGTCGAAGCTCATGTTCCGATTGCAGTAAGTGAACCGATTGCAGTGTAAGCTTCTCCAACGCCCAAAGCCTTCTTTTTGAAGATTTTTGCTTTTGTTAGGGAGTTCAGAGAAACTACACGATCTCTAGATGGAGGAGTGATCAGCAGGAACATCACAATACTGGAAGAAACAACCTAGTGTTTAACCTAGTGTTTAGAGAATTAGCAGACGTCGTACGGTTGGTTTGGTCCAAAATATTTTAGTATCTCTGTCATTCTTATATTATTGATTTAATCCATGCCTTACAAATGGAACATAAATCTGCAACTGCTTCTTCTTTTAGATGTGTTTTTGCTTGTGATTTTGGCAAATAATTTAGAAATATGAAGCCATATTAGTTGATAATGTAGCTGACAGACATTTACACTTTGGTTCACTTCTTTTTTCTTCGTTTTAGCTTGGATCGAACCTCCAATCTTACAAATGATATTTCTAATAAATATCTTATTTACTAAACTATGCTCGAGTGTCCAGTGGACATTTTGTAGTTAATTTCTTTCTCATTTTATATGTTCTTTTCTAGGTAAGTCCATTCTTATAACGACAACAACAGGAGAAGACATTAACATTTTGTGTAAAAATAAAGGCAGCATTTATTTTTCATATGGCGAAGTCCATCCGAACCGTCCAATGAAGAATAAGAGGAGAACAAAGCGCCAATTATAATCTTTTAAGAAATATCTATTTAAATCAACCTCAATATTTTAACCTAGATAGACACTTGCATTACAACCTTGGGTTTCACAATTGGCTTATAAATGACATTAATGTAACAAAACGAGAACATAAGACAACTAATTGATCCTATAACAAAAACGCTTTTAATAGCTATGAATAGTATACATGTTCAATGGCCCCAAAAACCGACAACTTTATAGGTTGAATTAGCTCATAATTCATAAATTAATTTGACTAGGACCAAACCTTTTTTGCATGTATATATTAATTACATTTAATTTCATAATTAACAATTATTCATAATTAATTTTTCAGCATCATCTAAACATCATAACCCAATATCTGAGTGGATTGGATCTAAAAAAATATCATTCCCATATCCAATATCACCCAGAACGGTTAAATTAAAAACCCACGAAGATGGCGGTTCATAACTATGATCTCACATTTCGATTCGAATGAGAATCAAAGAAGGCCAAGAACATTCAATCCAAGTTATGTAGCATACAAAAAGAAGAGAAAAAACAGAAAAAAGAGAACAATCGAGGCAAATGAACTTGGAAAAAGAATATCCCAAGAAAACATCTCAAAAGACAGCTCTAATAGCATTGAATCATAAGAGACTTCATGTCTAAATTTGTGAAGCTGGTTTTTAATGAACAGAGGCAGGGATTGAGGCCCAGTAATCTAAATCTATAAGTCAAATGCTTTCCAGCAAGATTGACAGCATAAGATAATAGAAACCATTAAACCCAGAAAGAAGATAATGTCGATGGCACAAATTGATTATGTATGAAGATGCAGCCTTAGAAATGCAAATCTGATAATGAATTGTCGCAATCAGGCATCAGAAGCAGCGCTTTCCACATTGAAATGGAATTCGCTGCAACCAGGTCAGAATTACAAGACTAGTGAACAAAAGAAGAGCAAAAACAAAAGATTCAATAGAAGCAAACTTATATCATAAAAACCCTAAACTTGCCGGCTTCATGGCGTTCTACTTTACTCTTCCTCACTGCCGGTTTCACCGCTCTTATTGTTGTGTTTCTTCGCGTACCTCTGGTTTCTAAGGAACTTCGGATCCATCTAAACACAGATCAACGAGATAACGAATTAAAACTATTCTGCAGAAGCATTCAATAAAGCAAAACAATCCATTGAACAAGAACAGAAATGATTCCATCAGTAAATCTCATACTCCTTTGGTGGAAGTGTGACGATGCTTCCTTGGCTTCTTGATGCCGTTCCTATGGGCTTTGCGGGACTGATTGTGCGCTGTGTGATTCTTCGACTTCGCCATCTCTGAACGAAAAAGAAGGTGAAATCAGAAAACTGATATGCCAAGAAATCGATAGAAGGAGAGAGTTTGAACAAACCTTACTCTGTGGTAGCGGCAAATGCTATGGCTTCCGTCGTACTGTTAATCGTGTTGCCCTAATTTAGTGTTATGGGCAGCTCAACTTGGGCTTGCCTCCAAATTATAATGGGCCTGATTTTGGGCCAAATGGGCCCAAAGAAATAATATTAAATTGTCCAAAAAAATGTTTATATTTTATGAAAATGCTTAAACATCAAGAGATTCTTCAATAATATGTAAACTCTACAACTAAAATGGTCACAAGACATTGTATAAAATTGATAAAAAGGGTGCCCATAATAAATTATATTATGTAAATATTTATCGCTACAACATGTATACATATTTGTGTATATATCAGTATATATTGATTCGTGAGCATTTAATCTTCCAACCCGAAAAAAATGAGAAACTTAAGACTCTCAAAACATTCCACACCTTGCTTTTTGTGTAGACATCCAACCCGAACAAATTGAGAAACTTAAGACTCCCAAAACATTCTACACCTTGCTTTTTGTGTAGACATCCAACCCGAACAAATTGAGAAACTTAAGACTCCCAAAACATTCTACACCATGCTTTTTGTGTAGACATCCAACCCGAACAAATTGAGAAACTTAAGACTCCCAAAACATTCCACACCTTGCTTTTTGTGTAGACAAGGACCTTCATCTCCTTCAATCTCCTTCAACCTCATCTATCTATGTCATCGTTGTTGCAAATTTGAAGTCGCGTGTTCTTGAAAAATATTTGTTTAAAACAAAAATTACTTCGATATATACAAGTTTTATTCGAGAATATAATAGTCGAATGCAATTAGAATATTTATTATTCATAATTGTCAAAATTTTATTTATTTTACCATGAAGTACATCTTCTACATTAAAATCGAGCCACATTAACTTAATAATAGTTTAAACAGCATACCATTCAAGATTTCATTAATATCTCCTATGGTTTTTCATATAATAGATAATTAAATGATAAGTAAAAACAATCAATAATTATTAAAATAATAAACCATTAGTAACTAGAGTTTACGAGATAAATCCCTCTAACTATTCTTTTTTCTGTCGTGCTGAGCGTAAATGTCACAACCTTCATTTTTCTGATTCTTCATTTTTGCATTAAAAAAAATTAAAGCCATTTTGCAATGATTTTGAAGAACATTTTTTTCGGTTGATTTCAAGGTTATTTTCACCTAATATCTTTGATTCTTTAACTAAAAAAAACAAGAACAAAATTTTCAAAATTATTCTTAGTATTCAAAACTTTGGCTTCCGTTCTTTTGGAAATAAAAGAAAGTAAAGAAATCAACTAGAAATAGTGTTTATAATTCTAATTAAGAAAAGCCTAAATAGTTGTGGAAGAGAAGGCCAATAGCACAAACAAGTACGAAGACAATCAATCACTAAAAATTTGAAAACACGAAGAACAGGTAATCGAACATTGAAAGAAACAGGACTCGCTACATTAAAGTGAAAGTTACTACACTGGTGGTAACCAAAAAGAGAATAAATAACAATATAAAAAAGGTTCAATCGAAGCAAACCAAAAACTCAACTGCATGGCGTTCTATTTTACTCTTCTTCAGTACCGGTTTCACCACTCTTATTGTTGTGTTTCTTCGCGTACCTCTGGTTCCTAAGGAACTTAGGATCCATCTATTGCACAAGAACACAAATGATTCCATCAGTAATTCTATAAGGAAAAACAATCGATTGAACAAGAACAGAAATGATTCCATCAGTAATTCTCATACTCCTTTGGTGGAAGTGTAGCGATGCTTCCTCGGTTTCTTGATGCCGTTCCTATGGGCTTTGCGGGACTGATTGTGCGCTGTGTGATTTTTCGACTTCGCCATCTCTGAACAAAAAAAACACAAAAGAGAGTGAAATCAGGAAACTGATGCTATGCCGGTCTTCGTTACAGAAGAATTTGATCGAAACGAGAGGATTTGAACAAACCCTAGACTCAGCGGTGGCCGAACGTGCAGTGATTTCCTGAGTTTCCTTTGCTTGAGTAATCGTGTTGACCTATTTCAATGTTGTGGGCGGCTAAACATGGGCCTGAGCCCAAATTCTTACTGTATTTATTTTCTAAATGGACGGGCTTGGCCCACATTCTCACTGTATTTACTTTCTAAATGGATGGGCTTGGCCCACATTGTTACTGTATTTACTTTCTAAATGGACTTGGTCCTTGGGCTAAAAAGAAAGAAAATGGTTTGGGCTTGAGCCCACATTCACGATACGTTGGCTCGGCTCGGCTCGGCTTCAGTTACAGGCTCCATTTTTACTTCGTCGGATTGTTTCAAGGGTTTTAGGACGACTTGAGCTCGGGCTCGGGCTTTGGGTCGAGCTTGGGTTTCGTCTTGGGCTCAGGCTTGGTCTTGCGCACGGGCTTGGATTTGGGCATAGACTTGGGCTCAGGCTAGGCCTTGGACTTAGGCTCGGACTTGGACATGGGCTGGGACTGGGGCTTGGACTTGAACATGGGCTGGGCTTAGACATGGGCTGGGGCTTTTACATTGACTTATACTTGGGCCCGGGCACGGACTTGGACTTGGGCTGGGCTGGGTCTTGGGCTTGTACTTGGACATGGGCTGGGCTTGGGTTTGGACTTGGACTTGGAATAAATTAAAGATTGGAATAATCTGAATCGATCTGTCCCGTAGAAATCTGTCGGTTAGAAGTTCGTTTATAATATTTATTTTTCAAATAAGCTTTTTTTTTTTTATATATATATTATATAAATAATAAATAATTGAATAATGTAATGTAAATTTATTAAAAAAATTATCACTAAAATAAAAATAAGTTTTTTTTTTTTTTTATCAGAGTAATTATTTAAATTTTCTAATGTTTTGATTATGTGTATATGTATCTGCCTGCACATAACAGTTGTAACGGAAATCCTTTTTATTTTTATTTTTATTTTCATTTAAAAAGTAAAACCATTTTGTCAAATGGCGTCCTCAGATCTCCATCGCTACTTTGAATCTCCGATCGTCTTCATTCCACTCTCTGTGACGCCAACTATTCTCCGGTGAATTTTCGGCTTCATTCTCACGGATTAGCAATCGGCGGTTATGTTTCTCGTCGATTGGTTCTACGGCGTCTTAGCATCGCTCGGCCTTTGGCAAAAAGAGGCCAAAATTCTCTTCCTCGGCCTCGATAATGCCGGCAAAACCACTCTCCTTCACATGTTGAAGGACGAGGTGAGTTTCATTTCTTTTTCTTTATCTTGCTCTGTAGTTGGACTTTACTCCCGATTATTGAAATCTTTTAAGGAATAATTTGAATTGCGTGTAGCGATTAGTGCAACACCAGCCGACTCAACACCCGACCTCAGAGGAGTTGAGTATTGGGAAAATTAAGTTCAAGGCCTTTGATCTTGGAGGCCACCAGATCGCTCGCAGAGTCTGGAAAGATTATTATGCTAAGGTGATTTTTTTTATTGGTCAATTCCTGATTGCATTTTGTCGATATTTTGATCTTTTCAACTAGGATTAGTTTTCGTCCTCTACGATTCGTCTCAACTCAATAAGATTCTCCTCAACGACGGATATTATTAGTAATCTGCCGTTTTAAATTGGTAGCTGATTGGTCCAATGATATAGATTTTGTTTATTTCTGATTTGAATTTGATGGTTGTTGGAGTTTTCTTCCTTTCAAGCCCACCAGATCCATTTTCTGTGCTTCATCGTAGAATTTAGACTTTGGTTTCAATTTCCTTTAGTGTATTTTCAAAATCTTGAAGGGAAATATGGAAGGGAAATCTCGAAGAGGACAATCTTTTGGCGGTGGGTTTAAACCATTACAAATGGTATTAGAGCCAGGTTGGAGGGGGTGGATTGTGAGATACCATATCGGTTGGAGGGTGGAACAAAACATTCTTTATAAGGGTGTGGAAACCTCCTTGCATTTTAAAAATCTTAAGAAGAAAGGGAAGCTCGAAAGGAAAAGTCCAAAGAGAACGATATCTACTGGCAAGTTCTTGGTCCCAGAACTTTACTTTTCATGTTTCAATAACTCCAACGTAACCTTCTCTGGTTATGAAAGAAGAATTGAAGTTGGAGATGCATCCTATTTTATTCAGTCTCCTTCTCTCGTGAAATGAATTCTCGAGCATACCTGCCACTCAGTTGACTATGGGAGTGTGGAAACACCTACTCGATTTTCCTCAAACTACATAGCGTTCGTCAAAGACGAGCATTGGCAAATTGTTTACTTTTTTCTGTACAATGCCTTTTAAGGGTGCTCTTAGATTTATGGCCTATTTGGAATGACTTAGAAAAGGCGTTTTTAAGCACTTGAACAGTTATTCCAAACAGACTCGTCAACCTACGCTGTTGGACATTATTTGTTTCCAAACGAACTAGGATTGGAAAACCTTCTCAATTACAAACTTCGTGGACATAGCTGTAAATCGTGCATTTCGATCCATTAAATCCTTCAAGTATTTCGATCCTGGCATGATGAAAACTTGATCTTGTCAAATTTCTTAATCTTTCTGCTCACTTGGTTCTTATAATGTTGTGTTGCAACTATTGGAATTTGAATAATGTTTCTAATCCTGAGTTTTACAAGTTTATGGCTTCTGAATTCCCTTTCTACTAGCTTAGTGTCTCTCCTCTGCTTGTGTAAATATGAGGATGTCTACACAAAATAACTGTTACATATGTCCATAATTAGGTGGATGCAGTAGTTTACCTGGTTGATGCTTATGACAAAGAGCGGTTTATCGAGTCGAAAAAGGAGCTCGATGCTCTCCTTTCGGATGAAGCGCTAGCTGATGTTCCTTTCCTCTTGCTCGGAAACAAGATTGACATCCCATATGCAGCATCCGAGGACGAGCTAAGATTTCACCTGGGTTTGACCAATTTCACAACTGGCAAGGGAAAGGTTAATCTTACGCAGACTAATGTTCGACCGCTCGAGGTTTTTATGTGTAGCATTGTCCGCAAGATGGGTTATGGGGATGGGTTCAAATGGCTCTCCCAATATATCAAGTAGTATCAAAATTGGTAATTAGCATCCATTGTTCCCATATAGGTTATCGTTTGTGCCTGAAAGAACGTAGTTTGAGGGAGAAAATTGTTCACAAGGTTGGCAACTTTTGTGTTGGAACTAGGCTTTGTTGTCATCATATTCTCTGATTATTGTTTTTTGTGACATTATATTGCTTTAAACTCTCAATAAAGTCCGTAGATCAATGAGTTCTATAGAATTAAATTCAAGCTTGAATCCCATTATGTTCATTTGGGATGAATCCCATTATGTTCATAGTATATACCGATGTTGTCTAAACTCAAGTAAACTTTGGTCCCATGTCTTTAATTATTCATAGTATATACTGATGTTGTGTGAGCTCGAGAAAATTCAAGTCTCATGTCTTTAACTATTCATAATATATACCGATGTTGTTTGAGCTCGTGTAAACTCAAGTCTCATGTCTTTAACTATTCACATACTGATGTTGTCTGAGCTCGAGAAAACTCAAGTCTCATGTCTTTAACTATTCATAATATATACCGATGTTGTTTGAGCTCGTGTAAACTCAAGTCTCATGTCTTTAACTATTCATAGTATATACCGATGTTGGCTGACCTCGAGGTCTATATCTTTAAAGGTTCATAGTACATAATGCTGATCACTACCTCAATCATTGAAATCACTAAAATTCAAATCATCAAATGAAAGCTTATCTAACTCCAGCTGCAATATACATGACAATCATAGTTTATACACTAGAACTTGCACACAAACTTCAATGGAAGGTTTAACTCAGCATTGCTGCATCACTCCAATGGGACCTATATCATAAAAATTACATATTTTACCAATTCCGTAGACAAAAGAAAGGCCATCGAATTCCATGAAACAGTTTTGTAGAAGTAAAAAGCAAAAAACAGACTGAACTATGTTCATATAACTACAACATGTACAGGCTACAAGCATCTCCCACCAAAAACATTTGCTATGACACAAAGGGCACTAGTTCTTACCCATCTAAAAAGTTCATCCCATCGTCGACTAACGAGTATTGGCACCGGTCATTCCTCGTGTATGCCTGAGCTAAGTAAACTCCTGTCTTTAACCATTAATCACTGCCACAATCATAGAACTTTTCACGAACTTGTGCTTTCAGCCATTCAATTTCATATCAGGATGTGAAAGCTCTTCATATTCCAACTGAAATAGCTCAAAAAAAACACAAAATCAAAATTCAAACGACCTGAACTTACACAGGAAACTTCAATGAGAGGATTGTAACTCACCGCTGCTTCAGCATGGGTTAACTTCATCCGACGATACTCCTCTTGTACTTTCTTTGATCGGAACATAGCCTGAACCCGAATAACAGCTCTCTCAACTCGCTCTTCTGCTTGTTTCTGAGATACGCGATAGAAGTCCTCTTCCATGCCAGTTTCCTGATATTCTGTCACTTCAGCTGGTGCAACTTGAAGCCCACGAAAACCTTTTCTCTTAAGACGCCAGCGCAGTATAGCTTTCTCAACAATTCCTACCGACCAAACGATCTTGCGATACTGTCTTCGCACTTGGAAACCTCTAAATGCAGCCTAGGAGAAAAGAAAAATATTGGTAGTCATCTTCCTGAACTCTTAACTCTAGCACGCATGTCAGTTCAATAATAGTTGCATGAACTTTTTTTTATCACTTCACAACAATCACCAGGTACAAATAAATCACACTGTATTTGGCATGTCTTTTAAAGTGCTTATGGATTAAAAACGCGTTTATTAAACTTTTAGTGTTGAGTTAAAATTTTAGACAGGTATTTTACCAATTAAAAGTGCTTTGTAAACCTTCTGATAATCAAAAGTAGCTTAAGATATTTGAAAATTAGATTAAAAAAAAAAGCAATTAAATTTCTTTTAGAGAAAACATTTGACTAATTTTTTTCTTCCAAAAATGCTTATATGATAGGGAAGAAAACACTTTCTTTTTAGGCATGCCAAACACACACACGAAGAATAACACTATTCAAATCTCCTCGAGCAGAAACGATAAACTTGGCCGATCTTGTATATTGTATTACTTAGTTGGATTTACTTGTGCAAACAATACCAGTATAAAGAGTAGACTTTTCAAGACTTAAAATGGTTTAGGCCTCATCTCTTTCCCCCCCATGGTCAATAATCAGTCCGCAAATTAATTGAAGGTAATGCAAAAAACTGAGAGTATAGACTTACTTGAATCCTAATAATTTGACGACGCATATTAAGGAAGTCTTTGCGGATCTTCCACGTGCGGAATCTGTATTGAATACGAGCAGCAGCTGCCATTTTTTTTCGTGTTTCAAAGTTGCGGAAGGCATGTTGAATTTTCATGGCCGCAACAATACCACGTGCTTCAGCTTCAGGGGTGGAGAGTTCAATTGCGTCAGTCCTTTGCTTTAAAGAATGCTCACGGAATGCTGCTTGTATGCGTGCTGCTGCATCAGCTGCTGTCCGATAAGCTGCTAATGTTTCTTTCATATACATCTGCTCCTCACTGACGCTATCAAAGTTCGTGGTATCAGGTATTGTATTAGTTTCCAATGAGCCACTAACATTTCCAGCCAAGCTCATCTCTTCAAAATGAGATACCAAAGCCTTTTCAGAAAGATAAGCAGCTAAGCCATTAAAACCATTTATAGATGCAAGATCTGCTGCCGTATATCCCAGAGGGTTCTTTGATGTGGGATCAGTGATCAAGCTTGGCTTTGCCCCCACAGATAAAAGAGCAGCTACCATCCTCTCCCTACACAATAAATAAATGGGGCCAAATAGGTGAGAAGTGCCAACCAGTATAAATCAACTTAAAAAAAAAAATCTATTTTTGATTAAATACCAAAACACTGGAAATTCCCAATCAGCAACACAAAATTAACCGCTCTGTCAGGTTCAAGGTATTGTAAAATAATTATAATTAAGATAGATGATGATTGAAGATAAATATGTTCATATGCATGAAAGGTTGACTTAACTGAACACTTAGAATCAACAACCTCAATGTGGGAGTATTTGTTAACCTAGGAATCTGATAACCATAAGTAATTGATGCAACCCCATGAACAATCAAGGATATTAAACGAATACTTATTTGCATGACAGGAACTCTCCAATTAAATGGTCGTCAATCGGCCAGAGGGTATTGGATGAAACTGAAAAACTTGACCACTTTTTCTATCAATTTGACAAATAACATTGTACCTTCCATAATAAGCTGCCCAGTGAAGAGCTGTCCATCCAGATTTATCTCGAAAGTTTATAGATAAACCAGACCAGACAAATAGATGTACAGCCCAGGTATATCCCAACATGGCACACAAATGGATTACTCCTTGACCATTTACATCAAACTCAGTGCTTTTCTTTGAGCCTTCAGCAACTCTTTCTATCAGCCATTCCCTCAACCTGCTTCTCAATATCATCTCAAGAACACCCTCTCTTGCTTGTGGAATTGGAGTTTTATTTTCTGTAACTGATTTTAACAAATAAATCCAACCATCAGAAATGCCAGAAGTTTTGACAGCTAGTTTCTTGGCGTCGTTCAGGGCAGTGGGTGACAATTTAGTCGACATGATGCTCAGGCTCTTGGATGTAGAGAACATCAGATGAGCAAGCCGCATCTGAACTTGAAACTCCTCCCACTCGAGGATCTGTTCTGACGTAACTTCAGGCACTTGTAAAAGTGGTGCACGATACTCAAAATTCAGAACTTGACTAATAGGTTTGTGACCAACTAAGCTCAGGTATAAATGTACAAGTCCCGGTGAACGTGGTTCTACCTGACAGCTATAAACTCCAGGTTGAACAAAATCAGCATTAATACTAGTATCACCACAAACAACAGATATTTTGGACTTCGCTAGATGTACGTACTCATCAGAAAAATATCCAATGATTACAATCTGCAAAAAGTACAAAGAATGCCATTAGTATCTTTGCAAGTTGTAGGCAAATTAGCAGCAAGATGGTGTATTCCACCATTCTAACTTTAACACGCTAAAGTGAAAATGCACCATATCAACAGAGAAAAAATTAACCATCCAAGGGTCATGTTCACTATACTGATCATGAAAAGATCATATTGTCAATCTTTTCAAAGTTCATGTAATGAATTGGTAAGGATCGACCATATTTATTAAAATAAATTCCCACAAAAACAATTGCACTTCATGTTTATAATGTTGATCAGTCACGTTCACAATACTGATCATGGGAGGAAAACATACCCAACAACAGCGGACAATAGTTAAGTTTTCAAATGTTGACATTCAATCAACAAAATTCATAAACCTATTGTTGTACTAAATTAGAGATGAATACTGTCTAAATATTCAAAAGGATAAATGGGAAATGGCCGAACCAGCCTAGCGGACACTCAAAACTATGTGGATTCACAGGGAAGAGTAATACTGCAAGTACCAAATTAACTACTCAAAGGAAGTGCCTATTATTTAGGAAAGAGGAAACAAATTCAAAAGCCCTTCAAACTGTACATTGCTTGAAAAAAATCACACTAACAGATCACAAAACCCAAGGATGTCTCCATGTTAAATTCACTCAGTTGACTGCAACGATTTAAAAAAGAAAGTTCACTTCACCTAATACAGAAATGTAATGGGACTAATTAAGAGTAGCTACACAAAATAGGTCAATCATAGACTTTCTTTTTGTAAGAGAATTCTAAACTTAATTTAAACACAAAAAATAAAAAATAAAGAGGATGGTTAAAAGATTACCAACCAAATAAAACATGGACCAAACTAGGATTTAAACCTAATAATAATACTAATAACAATAATAATAGTGTAACATAAAAGGGAATGCTTTCCTTGCCTGCACGAGAAGAAATAGAAAAAAAACCCAATAAACACCGTAATATGATGGTGATATAATGTCAAATAAGTAAAGAAAATGTGAAAAGTTGGTACTAGTAAAAGAGAGAACCTTTGTTTTTTCTGTTGAAAAGGCCCACGCAGGTGAGACAGCAGTTATGTTAAAAATTTGCTCCACCGAAGAGTGATGGTGATATAATGTCGAATCACAATAGGAATTGTGAACAGATGAAATGGACGGCTCAATAGCAGGATCAATGACTGAACCAGGCGAGTCAGTGATGACTTCATTGATCCATTGTCCTAAGCTGTCCTGACTTTGCAATCCTCCATCATTTAACAAATTGTCCAACGAATTAATTGGAATGGATTCCCTACTCTCAACATTCAAATTCGTTTGACCACCCATTAATGACATATTCACACTTCCTATGCTGTTGGCACTCCCAATTGACTCAACTGGATTATTAAATGAAGTTATCACCCCGAAGATCTTGTTGGCCACCTGCAAGGATGGACCATAAGAGTCCATAATCCATATATAAGGCAATAACCACTAGAGAAGAAGAAAATTTAAGCACCTGTATAAAATTGTGCAGAAAGAAAGATGTTCAACATAGTAGCAGATTGCTTGATAAAAAAATATTATCGAGTAATGAAGCAAAATAAACTTGACCATAATTAGCTATCAGCCTTCTTTATCACTTATAAATAAGAGGAGAAAAGTGAAGCAAGTTATACCTCCCATCCGCTTGGTCATGGAGTCCGACCGAGCAGTGAAGAGTAACATGCTCCGATAAATGGAATAAGAAAAGGAGGAAGGCAAAGGGAACAAACAGAAATCAAAATTCCAAATAGTAATTTATTCTACTCACATTTATTGGGACTTGGTTCTGTTGGTCAAAGCATGAAAGTTTGTCTGGTGAATGAGAAGGAAAGAGTTAAAAGAATTAGTAATCTACTATCCAATTCGGCAGTTGTTTTTGCCTCATTCAGAATTTTTACTTCGTTACCTTCTTTAGTCATGGCAGGTTTGAGAGGCTCGTTCGTCACAAGAAGTTCATCCCACTCAAGTGTGTTGATCTCATGAAGCCGTTGTTCATGAGCCATGACTGTTGTAGTATCACTAGGCTCTGTTCATTATCCACGTAAAAAAATAAAAATAAAAACTTTTGTCTCGACCAGAATTTTCTTCAAGTTAATTCACCACAGTTTCTTCTGTTACAAGTACTCTGAAGCACATGCTTGATAATCAATCACTTTCCTGTTTGGTTCTAATATTTCAAAAATGATTTTATCGAGTTAAAAGTGCTCTTTTGGATTACTAGTATTTATTGGATAAGTATTTCTATAATTAACCATCTAAAATATAACCGATCAATATAAAAAAGAATAAAATAAGCAAGGACGGTGTGTGCATAGAGAGATTAATTTGAGAGGGCATGAGTAGAAAGAGAGTGCTAAAAGGAACTGTATTTGAGGTGAGAAATTAGACAGAAAATATGTGTAGTAAAAAGCTAATGAGAAAAGGGCATAGAAATCAGTGAGAGAGTGTGCGCAAGAAGAAGGTAATGGGAGAGTGTGTTCTTGGAAATCAGTGACATAAAGCGTGCAAAAGAAAGCTAGTAAGAGCAACAGAGTACAGAGAAGTTAGTAAAAGAAAGTGTGTGAGATTGAAATGATGATTCAGGCCAATGTTAACTGCTTCTTTGAAAATCAATTCCAGTGCTTTTTTTAAAAGAAAAAATTATATCTCATTTGAAGTTCAACACAATTAGAAAATCATTTTGGTCATCAATCATATAAGTTTTATTTGGTATGACATCTGGAATCTATTTCTTGTTTTCAGTACTAAAGTATTTGCTCACTAAACACAGCAAACAAGACTACCAAATAAACTATAAATGCAACAGAAAGTTGTAAATATGAACTACATGTTTGCTCAATTAAAGTGTAAAGAAGAAATATTAGAAAAGAATGATCAAACAAACTACTTTTTTTTTTTTTTTTTGACAGGTTCAGCCAGTATCACCTGACAATTCATTTCCACCAACAGAATAGACATGAGTAGCCCTGGAATCAAGTTCTTCCGATAAAAGCCAATGAGCTGATGGGTTAGAGACAGAACCAGAATTTGAATTCATCGATGTAGATGGAGAACTCTGCCACTAGCAGCAGTAGGAAGTTAGTACGGCAAATTTTTCTCAATACAGAAGACTAAATGGAAGAAGTTGTTCATGAAATGTTCCAATGCATGCTATAGAAATAGAGCATAATGTTAGGAAGCTTTAACCATACGCTATAAAGAACTACAGAGCTGATTCATATGATATGAAGACTGATTATCGGACGAATATTTTCCCATCAAATAGTGTTACGATCATTGTCTTTTCCGTTCCAGGAAGAAGTTATACATATCAGAACAAAGAGAATCCTTGTCACTCTAAGCACCATATAGCACTCTACATCTAGATGGTGCCTTAATTTTTGAAAATTAAGTCAGAGCAATAAAATTGGTACATAAATTACCATGGCATTTAGAGTAGCACTAACAGAAACTTAAAGGCAATAATCATGATGAAAGTTGAATTCTTAAAATGTAAAAGAGTAGTAGGAAACACATGTATTCAATGGTTGACTTTATCCTCAACAAATATTGGATTAAATCATCGAAATACAACACAAACAAACATGTAATTTTCCAGTTTTTGAATGGAGAAGAGAGAGAGAGAGAGAGAGAGATGCATGCACGACTGCTATATGGTGCCAGACTTCAAGGAAAAAAAAATTAAAGAAATATAAGATAACACTATTTTGAATGAAAATAATAATAGCCATGGAGGAAAAATCAGAAAATCTTAAATAGATGAAGTAGTCCAAATGATAGAGGCTCATCTCATGATAATATTGCAATAGCTGCAGATGCATTATGCTGAAACTAACCTCTTTTGTTTCGCGGTAATGAACAAGGACAATGTGTTCAAGAGACCTAAACAAAAAGCATCAACAAATCATCAACTAAACAAATATGACATACTATACAGCCACAGTTTGATTCTATTTTTCTTTGCCAGTGGCATTATTGGGATAAACCCACAAAAACAACTGGTGGCAACCAATATACCAATGTAAGTTCAACAATAACATACTTATCAAGGAGCCAATAACATCGACGAACAAAGGTTGGGTTATCAAGGCCATGGGCATAGTATACATGTATCCTTTCTACATTACCAACCTGCCAAAGAAAAAGAAAAAAAAAATTATCAAAACAGCGTTTTTTCTTGGTGATTAATGCTATAACAGAAGAACAATTACCATAAATCTAAACACAGTTAATACTAGACATTGACCAACCAATAGACTCGAGAAAAGACTAGTAATAAATTAAATTATTTAAAATGATCTCCAACAACTTCCCTTCACATTGTGGAATCGTATGGTGGTTGATTAATGAGACATAGCTAGTAGACAAGATATATGAAATGAAGATGATAACTGAGAAAATTGAAAAGATCTACAAAATAAAATTGTAGGGGTTTGAATTTATATATTTTTTTCACTCGTATAAACTCTAGACTCAAATGCTTAAGCTGATTAACTACGTTCAGTTTAACTATTTAATATATTCTATATCCAAACAGACATGATTATACAACTATACTTCGAATAAGCTTTGGAGAATATTGGCAGAAACAATAGAAATTACTTCAAATTTGTGGAGAAAAAGGACATATAAATTATATTATAGAAAAAGAGCATCTAAATTATTTATACAGAAACACACGAACCCACATATATCAATGGTAATGCTGAAGGTAATGGAAGTAACCTAACTCATAAACCCCTTCCTCATATCTGACCAAATTCTTTCACAATATGCAAAAGCATCGAGCTATTTAAGCATTGGTCACTCCAAAAATTTAAAGACGTCAAGCTAGTATATATCACCAAAAGACAAATTCCAATAGTCCATTTGGAACTAATTGATGACTTCAACGTTAAAAGAGTCGCAACTTACTTCCTCACCTGCCACCACTAAGTCTAGAACAACATATTTTTATCAGGATCTTCAGATAATCTTTAAGAGTGTTGTGTTCCTTGTTTAAACATTTCAAAGGGGGGAGATTGAATTAACCATATGCCATAAATGCAACCATCTGAGTCAGAAAAATGTATATGTAAAGAATGAAAACAGATCTGAGGTCTCCACCAGCTTTTCAATTATGAAATAATGCACAATAAAACAAGACATGCTCACTTTTAGGTGTTCATGAGCTTCTTTTACTGTCTTTCCATCCTTTTTTTTCTTCCAATTATGTCCATCTTTGCGAAAATTCCTAAGCATCTTGCGATCAAATAGTACAATGGTTCCACCTGTTGCGCATTTCCAACATTAGAATTTCTGAGACATTACTGCCTACACCCAGTTTTCTATATTACTCAATATCGAAATATAAATGTGATTATCATGCAAAATGCAAGGAAGACTTATAATTGAATTTGATATAACTTGCATCAGACATTAAACAGAAATTCTTTTAGTACAATTTATAACTAGTAAAATAGAGTTGGAAGGAGTTGCAGAGCACAATCTCGCGAAATTACTTTTGGGCAAGTTCACTGGCTTGACATGGATGACAAAATATTTGTAGTTACATAGTATTGCCTGGATTTCATTTGGACGAAGCCATCTTGCACTTGCTTCCTCCCTGATGTTTTTAACATCCAAATCTGTTCACAGAAGAGAAAACAACTGATGAATTCATAAACTAGCATTTTTGCAACGCAGATAACATATACTAAATGTGAACAATTAAAGATAATTACAATAATTGGTCGAAGTAGTTCATTAATTTGTCGATAAAAATTCAAGTCCAGCCTGATCAAGTTTATTAGGATCCCCTTGTTGTTGGGAGGTGATGATTCAGCCAATGGCCGCCATTAACTTGGCCACTATGTTCTTTACCTCTCTAGTCTCTGGGCATGTTAAACTATTTCAAGGTAAGTAAAAACTATCATTTTAGGTTAACTGTTTTTCTATGATTTCTCTCATGCCCCTGGCAGGGTATATGTCAGAACTCAGAAATCAAAACTCAAATGTTTCCCAGATTTGACTCCGAAATTTTCGAGTATTTCCTTGTTTTTCGTCTAAACTTTAAGCATTCTGGGAAGATCAATACTTCGCCCTCTCTATTATCCTTCTAGTTGATGATTATTGTGCTGTATTTGCACATATTACTTCGGACTTATATAATTAAGCTCTAGCAAGCAAATACACACGCCTATTTCTACTGAACTCACACATGACGAAAATTTTAAACCAAACCGAAACGATTGTTCAATGAAAACAAACACGAATTCCATAAACAGTAGCATGAAGCCATAAGCATAGCAGTTAGCAGTACGTTGATTTTGCTTTCGTCAATCAACTCACTCAAAACTAAGAAACAATAAAAAGTCCTCCTAAGCACAGTCTAGCTGACACACAGAAGTTTCAAAAAAACTCCATCGCAGTTCAGGAGCGCAAAACTTCAACGCCTATATGCCGACAGCCTTCAAAAAACTACCCAATCAGAACTTGTAAACAGGCAACGATTACGACAGTACCTTGCAATGTATGGAAGCCATGAATCTCCGAGCCAACAAGGCTTCCTTGAACATCATCTTTCATGGAAAGAGACATCGATGATTCCTATTAGAAGCTGAACCTCAACAAAAATGCATCGGATTTTCAAAATGAACCTGCGAGCAAACAATACTGAAGAGTACGATACAAAGCGGCAGAATCAAGCAGAGGCGATCAGTGCAGATTACCTGATTACGGACAGAATTTGATTTGGGACCGAAATAGATGGAAGAATTCGCAGCACAATTAGTCTTCTTTTTGACTCCCTGTTCTCTCTCTATACTGGAACTCAGCATTAGACGGTGGCAGCCGTCTACCTGGGTCGGGCTGGCGGGGCCTTGCCTTATTTTTTGTCTTTTTTTTTTTTTATCTTTCTTTCTTCTTTTACGGAAATGTATTTATTTTTAATTCTATATTATTAATCCAAACATTGAGATTTCATATCTATTAATAGATTATAATTCGAGTGAATAATTAATCAATTATCACTTTAAAAGCTTGCTTTGACCCTTGTTTTTATAATGCTTTTAAATATATATTAGAGCTACGAGCTACGAGCTAAAAAAAAAAATTAGAGCTACGAGCGATTCGGGGGACCACCTCGGCTCCTCTCTTTTCGAGAAGAGCGATTGAGTTGAAAAAATAAATGATGAATTCAAAGGGATCAAATAGGAAATGATTCTGTGAATCAAGAGATTCAATTTGGAACTATTATATGTCCAAAGTCCAATATTGAAATAATTTCAGTAGGAAGGTTCGACAAATTCCGCTCTTTCTTTTTTTAGGCGTGAAGTGAAATTGTATTGTATTTCAGTTTAAGAGGTTAGTGAAATACTACGATCTACAAATTCCCATTGATACGCAATCCCAACCAGATTAGAAGCGAGTGACTTCTAGTTTTGCTCGTAATCGTTGTCTTTAGCTAATGTAGTGGTCGACCTTCCTTTCCTAAACGCACGCGCTCGTCATAATGCTTCATCGATTCTACACAAATCCGAGCCAATACATACGCACCAAAAGTGAAGATTCACATTTCATAGTGCTTGGAGAACGCAAATTTGATCGAGGATCAAAGAGGAGAGGTGGAAGAAAAAGTTCGGGATGGATTTATGAGTCTTTTATGTGAATTATATGCAGTAAGAGTCGCATGTACAGTAACGAAGGGGTTCGTGTCATTTGAAAATATGGAAGGCAAAAAAAAATTGAACCGCTACGCTCACACAGTAGATTACATAATACAATCTTCAGCATTTATGAGACGTAACAAATATTTACGCTAATTAAATTTTAACCCATTTCTTGGTATAAAAAATATATTATTTAAATTTATTTGGATTAACTTTTTAGTTATATATATATATATATATATATATATGTGTGTGTGTGTGTGTGTGCATTTTAAAATATTTTTTAACTATGTATTTAAATAATTTAAATAGATAATACTATGAACTCAGTGAAATTTAAGGATACAAATTGATTTATTTAAAAAAAAAAAGAAATTAAAATTTAGTACGAAATATTTTTAGTGGAGATTTAAATTTAATTCCAGAGAAATAAATACAGGATAATTCACAAAGAAAGGTCAATTTCGGTCAACAGCATCGTACGGAACCATAGCTACACACGTGTCCGAAATTGGCCGTTCGTGGGCCGATAATTCTGGACCAAACCACATTTATTTCGTTATTTTCTTTGAATGCATTAATTGTTCAAACCGATAATTCCACGTCAATAGGAATTATATTCCCAATTTTTAATTAAAAATAATTGATATATAAATGATTTATTACTATTATTATTATTTAAAATATTAAATTAAAAACAAACATTTAACCCTTTTAAATAATTTTAAACTTATTATTAATGATATTTGTATTTTATAGCTTAATATTAGTAAAACATTTATTTTTCTTACATATTATATTGTTGACCTGGACATGTGTTTCATTTGATGATTAAGATGTTTTTATTTTTTTTTTCCAAAAAAATTATATTTATTAAATTTCCTATAAAAACGTTGATTCAACTTATTGACTATCTTCTTGGGAGCATAGAGATAGAGACCCGTCATAAACATGATTTTTTTTTAAATTTACACTTAATTAAATTAAATTACAATTTATTTTACAGATCTTTTATTGACGGAGCGTTAAAACATATAAAAAAAAAATTAATCCAACATAAATAAAATTTACAAATTTATAATTTTTTTTAATTCAAATAATTATTATTAAATAATAAACTCAACTCAACCCAAATTTATTATTTATTTAATTTTTTTAATGAAAGTAAACCTGTTTGTTGAAAATAATCTCGTGATGGAAACAAGAGTGGAGAACCCCAACCCAACTTGACCGTCGTTAGTGCTTGAATCGAGATACTTCCTCTTTCTCTTCCTTAATTCATTCATTCCGGGCGAGAACGACCATTCCTGCATTGTTTCAGTAGAAAGAAAAATTGTTAAATAGAGTCTTTGAAACTATTTTAATTATTATAATTATTTTCATCTACGAATTTTAGCATATTTCATGGTTTTAGCAAAAGCCATTTAATTTGTTAAAATCTTCTAAATCTTAATTATTATTATTTTTAAAATATCCATTCTTAAATTTATTGTTAAATTATTAAATTATCCATTTTTAATTTTTTTAAAAAATTATCTAAAATAAAAGGTTTAATTTTTAATTATTAAATTTATTTTTTTAAATTTATAATTTATTAAATACTTTTAAAATTTAGCTGTTTGCCTAAAATCTAAAATCTAGACGAGACAGAACGTAGATAAGTGAATAAGACATCAATTATAATCTTAATGGTTACTCAATTTTGCATTGACCCTTTAAAGCATCATACATAGTTCGTTCACACGGTAAATGGTGCCATTTCTAATACATGCATGCTGAACTTCAGTCCAAAAATTAGGAAGAACACAATTTTTTAAAATCAATTTTGAATCATAGAAATTACAAACATATATATAGGCAAAATGTAATTTATTTTGATTTTTATTAAAAATAAATGATTTTAGAACAACCCATCATTTAATTATATTGAAACTAAAATTTATATCAATCATTTAATTTATTTAGTTTATATCATATAAAATCATTCACGGTGTACCGTTTAAATATTGAACAATTTTACGAAAAATCAAATTTGACCATAAATTTATTATAATTCTAAATTTTTTATTTCATCAAAATTGAAGGATAAATATAAATATTTGTTTAAATTTCATCCTTAAACTCTAAAACAATTGTAAATTTAAATTACTAATAAGTCATTGCTCTAAAATATTGTTAAATAAATTTAGAAATAAAATTTAGAGTGAAAATTAATTTTTAAAAAATAATTATATTTCACTAGGCTTGTTTTTCGAAGTATACAGTGTTTCAGAAGTTGAGTCAGTTGGAATCAGATCATCACGAGAAGGCTTTAACAAATATCTTCGGCTTTTTTACCGGTTCAAACCCGAATGCCTCTGCCCTCCCACTTCATTCATTGGTCGCCCTCAATTTTAATTATTATTTTTTTTTATTTTTAATTTCAATTGTTTGGATTTAACGGGCTAAAAATATTATAATATTCTTCAATTTTACTAATTATCTCAAAAATATTTGAGGAAAATTCCAATAATACTCTAAAATTAAAAAAATTAAAAAACTATTCTTAAACTTTAAAAAGTCACAAAAAGAAAAAATACCTTTAAATTTAAAAATATCTTTATAGTTAGCTTTGAATGGAACCGTTAATGCTTTATTACAAAAATATTCTTTTAATTTTAAAAAATGTCACTAATATCTTTAAGCATTTTTTTTAGAAAAAAAAATATATTTTTCAAAATAACATTAAAATATTTGTAGATAATTTATGAGGTGTCGACCAATGGTAAGATTTTCTTTTTTAACTTTTTTTTTTAAAGTAAATTGTGTTAATGCTATTTTAATTTTTTTTAATATTTTTAAATAATAAATGTATTTTTTTTCAAACTTTTTAAAGAAATTGAAGGATATTAAAAATTTAAGATTGAGAATATATATATTTTTAAAACAAAGTAATTAAAAAAAAAACTTTATTACAAAATATTTTAAGATATTATAGGGAATTAGTAGAGCTCACATTTATGAATTTTCAAAGTGCAATGAGAAAAATTGAGATTCTTTTTCCTTTGGCATAAAATAATATACGAAAGAAAGAAAATTTATCCTAAAAAAGAGAAAAGGAAAAGTTATTTTTCCCTTTATTATTTTTAAAAAAATTCTTTTTCCAAAAAGTTACAATAATTAACCATTTGGGTTCGAAATAATTAATCATATTGTCCACTTTGAATATAAACTCTCATAACTATGCTTTTATGTTTTACCAAATAATCTCATAACAATGGAAAGAGTATTAGTTGAGTATAAACTCACGAACATTCCCACTTTCAATCGTCTAACAAAATATTTCAATAAATGATTTTTTTGGTCGAAAATTTTAGGATTAAAACATTTTTGCCAAAAATAAAAAAATAAAATAAAAGAGGAAAAAGGAAAATTACCATTTCTTCATGAACCCAATCGCGAGCAACTATACTTTTTCCTATAAAAACCCACTGGGGTTTTCACTCACGTGATTAAGCCCACTCGCTCCAAAGGATATTATTATTATGGATTGTGGTTTTAGAAAGTCAGTGGCGATCTGGGTGGTGGTGGTGATAGCGGCGGCGGCGGGGACGGCGGAGGGGAAGGCGGCGTTTGCATGCGACGGGAGGAATGTGGAGACAAGAAATATGGGGTTTTGTAAGGCGTCGTTGGGGATAGAAGAGAGAGTGAAGGATTTGATCGGAAGATTAACGGCGGAGGAAAAAATAAGGCTTTTGGTTAACAACGCCGTCGCGGTGCCGCGGCTGGGAATTAGAGGCTATGAGTGGTGGTCCGAAGCTCTTCATGGAGTCTCCAATGTGGGCCCCGGTACTAAGTTTGGTGGGCCCTTCCCTGGGGCCACTAGCTTTCCTCAAGTCATCACCACCGTTGCTTCTTTCAATCACACGCTTTGGCACGAGATCGGACGGGTCAGAATTCTCTCCTCTCTATCCCTTCACAGTCACTCTCATATTATTCGTTTTGGAATTACTTTATTATATAAAAGAAATTATAAACTTCATTTAAGTCATAACGAATTTTATTTTTTTCTTAAAAATTTGAATATTTTTTATAGATAGAAATTGATTATAAAGCACAATTTTAAAAAATAAAAAATAAAAAATATTATCAAAGCATATGAAAAATAATAATAAATTATTTTTCATATTACGAATTCCATAATTA